CGGTGTCGCGGTCGACGCCGCGCGCGCGTGGATCGATCGAGGACGCGACGAGGACGTCGGCGCGTCGGTGGATGAGGGTGACGCGTCCGTGGAGACGCGCGCGCGCGCGCGGCCGCGATGGCGATCGACGACGGAGCTGAAGATGTTTTTGGAGACGCTGAGCGAGACGTTCCCGGAGGAGTTGGACGAGATGCGAAGAAAGGTTCGGGACGACGTGAAGCGGGCGTCGGAGAGCGGAGGGATGTTGGCGCTGGCGCAGGGGTGCTTCGTGGGGGCGATGTGCGCGAGCGCGCGATCGATGGAGTACTTTAGCGCGGCGCAGTTTACGCTCGCGCGGTGCGCGGCGTCGATTCCGTTTATATATCTCCTCGCGCGAACGCGGGGGGAGACGATGCGGGAGTTGAAGAATGTGAAGAAGAGAAATAGGCTGTTGACGTCGGTGGTGATGATTTTGCTCGCCGCGTGCGTGTGTTTCGCGCAAATTTGTTTGGCGTACGGATTGAAGTCGACGTCGCTCGGAAACGCGGTGGTTCTCGGGCAGTTAGTGCCCGTGTACTCGTGCACGATCGCGGTGTTTCAGGGGATCGAGCGACCGAGCGTGGGTAAGTTTGCCGCGATCGCGATGAGCGTGATCGGGACGATTTTACTCCTCGATCCGGCGCGCATGTGGTTGAGCGTCGGGAACGCCCTGTTGTTGGTTCGAAGCGCCATGTTCGCGTCGTACCTGGCGTTTCAAGAGTCTATCCTGCGAGAGTACAACCCCGTCACCGTTGCCGTTGTCTCGCAATTCTTAGGGGCGCTCATGGGGATGGCTATCGCGCTTCCGCTGGTGATTCGCGAACACGTCACGGCGGAGGCTCCGATTGCGTTGGTGACGCAAACGAGCGCTTGGGCCGCCGTGGCCGCCGTCGGCGTCCTCACCTCGGCCGCGTACGCGCTCACCACGCGCGCGGAGGCGAACACCACGCCCGTCGTGACGGCGTGCTATGGATCGCTGCAGCCCATTTTTGCGGGCCTCATCATGTCCACAGGTATAGGCGGAGCCATGCTCGCGCGCGACGCGTTCGCCTCAGCGCTCATCTTGGCGGGGAGCGTTTTTGCCGTCGCCAAGTCGACGCTGGAGCGAAGTGAAATGCGCGTGATGCAGCGATCTCGGGATATGCCGTGGAACACGCTCACGGGCGATCCCACGATCGCGTTGCCTCGATCGACCGATGCGGCGAGTTATCCCGCGCCCATTGACATGACGCTCGACATCGACTCCGAGTTGTCCAACCTCTCCGTCGACGCGGACGAACAGGAAGGGACGGTGATCATGAAGGGCGGATCGAAAAAACGCGAGCGTGCGACGACGACGGAAGGGACCGTTCGTCTCAAGCGTAAGTTGAGAAAATCGAGAGTTCAGCGCTCCACCGTCGTATGGACCATAGCCTGGGCAGTCATCCTCTCGATTGTCTCGCTCGCCGGCGCCGGGCTCATCGGATGGTACGGCGTCTACCTGTACTGGCGTTTCTTTTGCTAGCGGGATCAATCACAATTATAGCTACCGTGTAGAAGACTAGAAGTTTCAGAAAGTTTGCGAAGCAAAGGACTCGATATCGATGAAATCTGCGACGACACTGTTCCCGCCGAACCTTCGTCCATTCAGAGCGTCTCTCGCCTTGGTCGCGTCCTCGACGGATTCGTAACGCACAAATACTTTTCCGATCCCAGTCACGGACTCGCCGCTCTTGCTTGGCCTAGGAATTACCACGGAGATGATCTTACCGTACTTCCCACACTCCTCGTTCATGTCTTCCATGATATTCTCAAACTCTTCGTCGTCCGCGAGTTCCTCCTCGGTGATGCCCATGTTCGTGAATGAGACAACCTCTGAGGGCGGATTCGCCGGTGCGATCGCCGGCGGTGGCGGCACGGAAACCTGACCACCGATGAGATCAGTCCGCCCCTGCTCGGCCCGTCGAACCGTGAGTGTCTTCTCGCCCATTTGCATGCCGTTCAAACCTTGGCACGCAATGTCCGTCACTGCGGCGTCTTGGTACACGACGAACCCGTACCCCTTGCTGTTCCCGTTCTCCTTGTCGCGCACTAAATCAAACCGCGCGATCGGCCCGAACGCCTCCAAGAGCTCTCGAACTTGCGGCTCCTCCAGGTAATACGGTAGACCGCCTATGAAGATGCGATTCGGATCCTCCTGTAAAATGTTCGTCGTCGCGGACCGCGCGAGCGCGCTCGGATCCAAACCGATGGCTTGCAGATTGAGCTTTGGGTTCGGCGTCGACGGCCCTAATCCCTGCGCGATCTGGGGGTTATAATCGTTCGGGCGTCGAATCCGTACCGGTTCGCCCTGAATCATCACCCCGTCCAGCGCCAACGCGTTCGAGCACTCCTCGACGCTCCTAAACTCGACGAAGGCAAACTTCTTCTCCAGGTTGATGTACACGTTCACCACCGGCGCCTCTTCGCTCGTCGTTCCACCCACCGCGACGAGGGCGTCGTTAAAAAAGCTCGACAACTCTTGTTCGTTCGCCATTGTCGGACATCCACCGAGGTAGATGCGTCGAGCGTGTCGCGTCGTCTGCGCCGTGATCGCCGCGCTCGAGAATCCCATCCCGGGCGGCGGCCCGTACCCCGCCCCCGCGGACGGGAGGTTCTTCGGGTCCACGCCCTCCGGATAGACGTCGAACAAAGTCGCTCGCATCCTCGGTCTGCGCTCGTACGGACCCGGGGACATGGAGCGCTCGCGCTCGGGACGAAATCGTCGAAAACCGCCGCCACCGCCTCGATTTTGACCTCTGTATCCACCTCTGTCGCCGTACCTACCGCCTCGGTGACCTCGCGGAGGAGAGCGAGAGTCTCGTCGACGGTCTCGGTCGTCGTACCGTCGATCGCGGCGGTCGTTGCCGAACATAGGGAGAGACGGCGGGACGAAGAGTGACGATGAACGCGAGCGAGACGCGAGAGACGTCGCGAGTGAAGCGAATCGCGACGACGGTCGAGGCGAAGAGATGACGAGTGATACATCACAACCCGAGATCGCGGACGGACGCGCGAGGGGCGAGCGGGCGGAGGGAGAGATTTTTGTAGTATCCGCGCGGTGAGCGCTCGGCCCACACGGCGTAGTTGGCGACGAGCGTTCGGAATTCAGACTCCGGGAGCACGTTCTCGCTCTTGTACTCGGGGTAAGCCGTTCGAAACGCCTTTGAAATTTCGCTCTGATGCACGCGACCGGATCTGGAGAGGCGCTCGTCCGCAAAGGCGCAGAAATCGGTGAACTGCGACTCCATGCGTCGAAGCGTCGCCTCGTCCACGCGTCTCGGCCGTCCGAGCTCGGACACGGCGGCGATGCACAAGAACCCGATCCCAGCCGAGATACCCCACGAACTGTCGCCCAATAATTTGTCCCCCACGACGGTGGCGAGACATCCAGAGAGGAAGAACCACGCCGCGACGCCGGCTCGTTGCGCCGCCTCCGCGTCCTCCAGCGCCCGCACGCCCGTCACTTTCCGTAACACCCAATCGCTCGGCCGCTCGCTATCCGTCCGCCCCAAAAATAACATGATCACGCTGATCGGCGAGGCGTAAAACAACCCCACCGCCCACACCACCGCCCCCGCCGCGCCCGCGCCCGAAATCGCCCCTCCGCCCGCGCGGTCGAAATCAAAATCAAACCCCTCCCCGTCGTACGACGCCGCGTACGACTCCACCGAATCGATCCCATACATCATCTTATCCGCGTCCGCGAGATACACCGCCCCGATCGCGAGCGTCATCACCGTCGCCGCGCCGCCCACGAGCGCCCACGTCTTCGCCCGCGCCCGCCGCGTCGCCCGCGCCCCGTCCTCGCCCCATCCCCCGTCTTCGCCCTCCGTCGCCCGCGCGATCATCCCTCGCGTCGTCCGCCTCCCCCCCCCGCGCGCGCGCGTCCACGCGTCGTCGTCGACGCCACCGAATGTCTCTCGCGTCATCCATCCCACCATCATCCATCGCGCCGTGCGCATCGCGCCCGATCGCGTCCGACCGCGCGCGAGGCCACGCGCGCGCGCGCGCACCGTCGCCGTCGCGCGCGTCGGGGCGAACGTGGCGACGCGCGACGCCGCGCGTGGGCACATCGCGTCGGCAATTCGCGACGCACCATCGATCGACGTCACCATGTCCCTCCGCGCCGCGCTCCGCGCGAGCGCCTCGACGGCCCGGATGACGTTCCCGCCGCGCTACGCCCTCACGGGCGAGCGCATCTCCGAGCTCCCGAGGGCGCGCGCGGAGCGAGCGATCGAGGAAGCGATGGAGCGACGGGCGACGGAGCGACGGACGATGACCGCGATGGCGGTGACGGCCGCGCGCGAACGCACGCGCGCGCTGGGACGGGATCGGGCGAAAGACGCGCCGAGGAGCGCGCGGTGGCGGTTGAGCGCGCGGGAGATGGTGAGCGTGGAATCGGGGGGGGCGGAATGAACGCGATCGGCACGGCGCGGATGGATGGAGAAACGACGCGGCGCGAGGGAAGAATGGAACGCGTGGGGGCGAGACGCTTCGCGGGATTCGGTGGGGTGTCGTTTGGATACGACGTCGCGGTCGTGGGCGGGGCCCTGGGGGCGCTTGCGAAGGATTTGAATATGAATTCGGGGGAGCGCGGCGCGGCGGTGGGCGCGGCGAAATTCGGCGCGGCGATGGGGGCGTTCGGTGGTGCGGCGGCGATGCGATGCTTTGGACGGACGAGAGCGGCGGTGATGATTGTTGGGACGTGCTCGACGGTGGGCGCGATCGCGTGCTGGGCGTTTGTGGAGGCGAGCCGTAGCGTCGCGGGCTTCGCGCTCGGGAGGATCGTTCTGGGCGTTCCCGTCGGCGCGTTAGCGGTGATCGTCCCCGCGTACACGGGTGAGAGCGTCGACGCGTCGTCGCGAGGAGCGGTGGGAGCTAGTTATGAGCTCTCGGTGTGCGCGGGGATGATTTTGGCGAACGCGTTGACGTGGTTTAAGCCGTCGAAATCGCTCGGTTTGGTGCTCGTTTCGCCCATCGTGTTAGGATTCTGGTCATCCATCGCTTTTGCGACGTGTCCAGAGAGCGCGCGATGGTTACTCGGTAGGGGCGACGTTGAGGGCGCCAGAGATGCGCTTCGCGCGAGCGGACGAGACGAAAACGCGGTGGACGCGGAGATGGAGACCCTTCAAGCCGAGGTCAACGATATCGACGACGCAGGATTCAGGAAATCTCTCGTCGATTCCGTCGTCGGGGGGATGCGAGAAGCGATGGAGGGAGAGGAATACAGAGCTGTCAGAATAGCCTTGGCGCTCGCGCTGTTCAATCAGTTGAACGCGTCGACGTCCATAATCAACTACTCTCCTCGGGTGTTGCGGAACATCGTACAGGCGAAGGGCGGGACGACGAGTCCGAGCGGTGAATTCGACGCATTTAACCTTTACACCGGGTTGATCGTTCTGTGTAAGACCGCGGGCGTCGCGGCATCGATCCTCTACGTCGATAAGTTTGGTCGTCGGCCGCTTTTGATCTTAGGAAGCGTCGCGGCGGGCTCAGGTTTAACGTTCGCGTGCTTTGGATACGCGGTGAACAGTTTCGCCGTCACTCTCGTTGGGATGTGTGCGTTCATCTTGGCTTATTCGGTGTCTTTTGCGTCCGTGTTTTGGGTTCTCGTGAGTGAATTTTTCTCGATGAGGACGAAGAGCGCCTGCACGGCGCTCGTCACGGCTACCCTCTTCGTCTCGGGCGCGCTCAGCGATCTTATATTTCCAGTACTACTCGCGTCCACCGGGGCGTTCACTTTCGCGGTGTACGCGATCATGTGTTTCGCCTCCGCGCTCTTCGTCCACGTATACGTTCCCGAAACGGCGAGGTTGTCCCTTCGGGAGGTGCAGGCGCTTCTCGGACGCAAGCCGTCCGAGTACGCGCGCGTGGAGTTGGGACAAATGTACTAAATTTCTCGCGCCGTCAGCCAGACATGTAATAAGAACGCGCGTTGTAGACGAATCACGAGTCGTGCTCGTGACGAATGCGCGCGAGCGCATCCATCGACGCGCGAGCCGTCGCGTCTCGAGCGCGTCGTTTCGTTTCGATACTGTACAGGTATTGATTGCATGACAAAAACGTTCGTCGTGTTCCGCGTCGCCACCGTCCCGAGATTTTCCCACGAGATATCGATCGCTCATACACTCACGTCCCCAGCGCCCCCGACGACGCCGATCGCAAAACCTGCAACACGCTCGAACCGATGACGACGAAGCAAAAAAATCCCAACATCACCGGCCCCACGCCGAATTCCTTCTTCTTCGCATCCTTCGCGCTCACCTCGCCCCGCCGGTGAATGTTCCCGTGGAACTTCTTCGATCGATGATTCATCACGCGCGCACTCGCCGCCTGCGCGTCGCGCGCTCGCCCGTCGTCAGTCACCCCGCGCGTCCGCCGCGCCGATCGACGCCAGATCGCGTCACCGTCCCATTCACGCGCCCGCGCCCGCCGCGCCGCGCCGCGCCGTCGATCGCGCATCCACCGCGCCGTCGATCGCGCACCATGTCGCCCGTCGTCGGCGTCGTCGGCGTCTCGCGCGCGCGAGCGCGCGATCGCGTTGAGGCGGGCGCCCACGCGCGTATTCAAGAGTACACTTCACCATCAACGCCCAACACCAACACATCCCGTATTCGAGTGTGCACATCACCCATGTACGTACGCACGGGACCACGTCGTCCCGGACGATGAACACATGGGCTGTACACGCGGTGTATACGACACCACCCGCACCGCCGCCGATGATAGCCTTCACGCGCATGGAATACGCGGCGCACCCCGCCGTCGACGTCACGCCCACCCACCGGCGGCGACGGATGGCGACGCGCGCGACGACCGCGCCCGCGGCGCGCGCGGGCGATGGACGCGCGCGATGGACGCGCGATGGCGCGCGTCGACGCATCGTCTCGCGCGCGAGCGATCGCGGCGGTGAGGCGAACGCGAAGGACGCGAGCGCGGGGAAGGGCACGCGGGGCGGGGGGCGGGACGACGGGACGACGAAACGCGCGATCGACGCGATCGACGCGGCGGGTGGACGATTGACTGGGCGCGTCGAGGTGGTGAATCGCGGTGGGGTGATCCTGCGAGCGACCCCGGGTGGATTCACGGCGTTTCTGCCGAAGAGCCAGATGCGGTCGACGCGCCTGCGCGGCGGGCGCGGAGGGTCGGCGAGCGAGGCGGATGAGATGAAGACGCTGGAGGGACAGATCGGTAAACTGATCGATGTGAAGCTCATGGATTGCAGTGGGAATAGGATCGTGGTCAGTGAGCGGGCGTTGTTGCAGGAGGGCGCGGTGGAGAAGCTGCCGGCGGGCGAGGTGAAGGAGGTTGTCGTGACGTCCCTGAGCGACTTTGGCGCCTTTGTCGAGGTGTGCGACGGACAAGGCGCGGCGAGCGGGCTCGAGGGATTGGTACACATCTCTGAAATCTCTTGGAATAGGATTAGTCACCCGAGAGACGCCGTCAAGGTGGGTCAGCGCGAGTTCGTGAAGGTTTTGGAGGTCAACGGCGAAACCGGACGCATCAACTTCAGCATAAAGCAGACGCAAGCCGATCCGCTCATGGAGACGCTGGAGACGATCATGCCGGTGACGATGCCCGAACCGTCGATTGACGAGGATGATCTGAGCGAGATTCCGCTCCCGGGTCTCCCGGACATCTGTAGCTCGCTCCTCAAGGAGGAGGGCATCGACGCCGTAATCCCGGGTCGTCAGGCGACGGAGCAACGCGTGGTGAGCCAAGACTTGGAGCTGTGGCTCACGAACGTGTTCGTCGAGGACGGCTACAACCTACTCGCGCGCGCTGGCCGCCAAGTGCAAGAGATTCACGTCGTGACGAAGCTCGATCGTGAGTCCATTAAGCGCGCGATCAAGCGCGCAACCTCAGTGGCCAAGAGCACGTAAACGCCGAAATTATTTGAGCTCGCGCTGTACACCACTCGTGAAGATGTGATTATTTTTTAATAACGCGAGATAACAAACATTTGTTCGCGACCAGCGCGTGCGACGGGCGACCGCGACGACGTTCATGGAGAAAGAGACGGAGTAGTACCAAAGGTCTATTTATATTGTATTGAATCAACTTCGCGCCGCGCTTCACATGAAGGACTCCAAGTAGGCAACCTCGTTCTTGGAGCCAACGAAGAACGGCACGCGCTGGTGAACCTTTTCCGGAACGATGTCCAGGACACGCGCGACACCGGTGGAGCCCTTACCACCGGCTTGTTCAGCGATCATGGACATCGGCGCGCACTCGTACAGGAGGCGGAGCTTACCGTTCGGGTTCTTCGCGTCACCCGGGTAACCGTAGATGCCTCCGTAAAGGATCGTGCGGTGGAAGTCACCGACGAGCGAACCGATGTAGCGGGCGCTGTACGGCTTGCCACCGTCCTTGCCGCCCGTCTTGAGGGAGTCCATGTACTTCTTCAAACCGTCGGACCACATGGCGTAGTTGCCTTCGTTGAAAGAGTAAATCTTGCCAGAGTCCGGAACCTTGATGTTCTCGTGGGACATGATGAACTCACCGACGGTCGGGTCGAGGGTAAAACCGAACACGCCTTGGCCGATGGTGATGACGAGGATGGTGGACGAGGAGTACATGCAGTAACCCGCGCAGAGCAAGTTGCTGCCCGGTTGGCAAACGTTCATGACGCACTTCTCTTCAACCTTGGCGGAGTCATCGGAGCCGAAGTCGGGAATACACGAGGAGTCGGACTCGTAGATACCCCAGATGGATCCCGTGGAGACGGCGGCGTCGATATTGGAGGAACCATCAAGCGGATCGAAGACGACGACGTAGTTACCGCCGTACGTTTCCTCGACGGCGACCGGAACGTCTTCTTCTTCGGAGGCGATGACGCCCGTGCGGCCGGATTGGCGCAATACGTTGCAGAAAACATCGTTGGAGATGACGTCGAGCTTCTTCTGGTCCTCGCCTTGCACGTTTTGCTCGCCCGCCAAACCAGTCATGCCCGCGAGACCCGCGCGCTGGACGAGGCTCGCGATTTGCTTGCACGCGAGACCGATGGAGGACAAAACCACCGCCAATTCACCATCAATGTTCTCTTGCATCTCTTGCTGGAGAATCCACGTCGTGTACGGCGTACCAACGCCCCCCGCGCGCGCCGCGACGGCGCGCGGCGACGCCCGCGCCTTACTCGCCGCGCGGCGAGCCGCGGGCGCGCGCGCCGTTCGCGCGCGCGTCACAGAGGCAGAAATACACGCAGACATCGTCAGAGATCAACCTACGTCGCGCCGATCGTCGAAATCATCGTCAGTCACCGATGCGCGCGTCGACGACGCCCCGATCGTCCTCGCCTCATCCATCCCCGCGCTGCCGAAACCCCATCCCGATCGCGCCGTCCACCCGCTCGCGCGCCGTCCGCGCGCCGCGCCGTCCGCGTCGTCGCCCACGGTCGTCCCGAGACGTCGCGCGCGCGCGAGCACGCGTCGCGACGACGCACCGGCGCGCGTGTGTCGCGATCGCTGCGCGCGCGGGCTCTTATCCGAACGCGCGCGCGTCGTTTCATGATTACATACCGTCCGGGACACCTACAGTACGGCACATGCCACGTACTGTGACGACAGTATCGGTCTCTGGACGCACTACATCGGTGTCACGATTACATTCCGTCCGGGACACCTACGGTACGTCATGTACATCGTACTGTGACGACGATATCGGTGTCTGTGACATCGACGCCGCGCGACCGGCGCGCGATGGGCGTCGACGCGGCGCGACGCCTCGCTGACGCGCGCGCGATGAAGGTGGCGCGCACGAAGCAGGCGCTGCGGCACCTCAAGACGAAGCGGAAGCGGGCGAAGGATAAGCGGCGACGACGGGCGACGCGCGGCGTGGGAGATGAGACGATGGTGACCACCGCGGACGGCGGCGGTGAGCGTGAACGCGGCGACGGCGCGGACGCGCTCGAGCGCTCGGCGCGGGAGCGGCGGAGCGCGGTGACGGCGCGGAAGCGAGAGCTGCGAGAGCGCATCGATGAGTTGAAGTCGAAGCGAGGGAAGATTGGGAAGAAGAATTTTGGAAAGAGCGAGGAACGCAAGGCGCTCACGCGGCGGATTCAGGCGTTGGAGAAGGAGCGCGCGGCGCTGAACCCGAACGGTGGTTCGGAGAACGGGATGGGTGAGGATGACGGTGGGGGGGGGGATCTCATCGAGGCGGATCTGGACGTGGAGATGGCTGCGTGAGAGGTCGGAGAGGTCGCGACGCGTCGCCGCGCTAGAATTTCAATCACATTTTGTAGCCACCACTCGTCAGGAGACGTAATACGTCTTGTTCACGTACTCGGCGCGAGTGATGATGGACGATTCGAGCTGAGGCGCGGCGGCAATCCTGAACGTGTCCGCGTCGTCGTAGTAGTCGCGCTCACGAATCAACTCAACCTCGCGACGCGACGACTGCTCCGACATGTTTCGCGCGGCCAAAACACCGACGTTCAGACCGCACGTGTGCGGAACGGACGTGCACGAGAGTGAATATTCTTCGTGATTTAGCGTCAGCGCCGCGCACACGCGAGCGAGCGTCCACGGTGGTATCAATTCGTTTCTAGCAGTCTCCGCCGTGTACGTCGCTCGCATCGCCGCCGCCGTCGAAGTCGGCGGAAACACCTGAAGAGTGCGCGCGGTGTCCCTCGCTTCCTGTCGAATCACCGCGTTATTCGACTGAATCTTCAGAGATAAAGGCTTGAGTGAGCTGTGTGCGAAAGGAACGGGCGCGAGCAAGAGCGGGACGTCTTGAGGACCGCCGTCTAAACTGCCCGGATCGGCGCCCGACGCCTCCATGAGCACGCTCAGGAGTCCGTGGACGGCGATAGCGCCACGACATATTATCGTATCCGCCGCCTTGCGCCTTGCCGCGTTCGGTGCGTCCATCTTTGCTAATTGCGCTGTTACCTCGGTGTTATCCATCGCTCTGCTCGCGCCGCCTCCCTCGAGCTCGTCGAGCAACCCACCTCGAGCCTCGTCCTCAGGACGCCACGTCCTCGAGTAATCCTTCTTTGCCTGGTCTATAGCCGCTGCCTCCGCGTCTGCACTCGTGAAAACAACTGCCGCGTCCGTGAGCGCGCGTCGAAACTTTGCATTACTCTGCGTGACCACCGCGTACCCACCGTCCTCAACGCCGCCGACTCCCGGAGCGCAAAACAAAACAGTTCGCTCGCGATAGACGACGTAAAACGCGTAGCACTGCCGCACCCTGAGCAATCCGTACAGACTCACCAAGGCTTCGTTCCAAATCGCCTCTCGCTGCTTCATCCACTCAATACCACTCGCCGACGCGCGCATCAAAGCGCACTGCTCGCCCGACATCGTCTCTCCCGGAAACGCGCACGAATACGTCGCCCTCGTCATCGCCCGCTGCTTCGCCGCCGCGTCGTCCTCTCTCACCGTCGTCATCGTCGACCCATTGGAGTACGCTCGCACGCCTTCACTCATCGTACACGCCCCAACCGACGCGATCCAACGCATCGACGTCTCGCTCGTCCACCGCGCCGACGCCTTGAGCGACCAATCCATCGGCCACGTCTCACTCGCCCGTCCTCGAGGCGTCGTCGACGGCACCGCCACCGGCTCCTCCCGCGCGCGCTCCGCCGCGCGTCGTCGTCGAGCCCCTCTCGCGTCGTTCGCCCGTCCCTCGCGCGTGGTCGCCGCGCGCAGAGCTCGAGCGACCGAGGCATCGTCGAGCGTTCGACGGTCGGCAACGCGCGCGTCGTCGTCGTCGTCGCGCGCGCGCGCGGCGGTCGTCATGCTCCACGGCGCCGTGCGCGCGCGCGCGCGTGCGCGTCTGACGCGCGCGAGGGTGAGGCGAGCGATGCATTTGATTTTTGATCGCTGGCGACGGACGAGCTGTCTTTAGAAGCTTTCAAATCTAGGCGCTCGGGCGCGCGCGGCGCTCGCGCGCGCGGCGGAGCTCGCGCTCGTACTTCAACGTGTCCTGCATGGGACGTAGTTTCTCTCGGCGCGTGCCGAAGACTGAGACGTGTCGTGAAGGTGAAAATCCAGCGCCCTCGGTGAAGAAGCAGTCGTTGCAGACGCGCGTCTTGAAGAGGTGCGCCGGATTTTCGAGGCAGTAGACGGCCGCGTTGGGTGCTTTGGATGGTTCTCGGACGTCATCGACCCATCTCCTATCCTTGGCGTAGTCTATGTCTAGGCGCACGTGTCCGACGTCGCGCATGTGGGCCTCGAACGCGTCCCGGTCGCGGCTTTCAAAGATGCCCGCGTGTAAGCCGCCGACGTGACGAGCCTCGACGCCGCGGTCAGAAACGCACACCAAGCCAGATTCGCACTCGGTCTGGAAGACGAAAGCATTCGCGGCGTCCATGTGCCTCATACAAGTTTGGCACACGTCACCTCTGAACGTCTCGACCTCCCTTCCTGACAGTTCTAGCATGTCAGAATACATCACGGCACAGTCGAGCATCGGGTACCAACGCAAACGATTGGGGCTCTCACCGCTCGGTAAGTCCACACGACGAAGGACGGGTGAGTAAAATCCATGATCGTGCACGTCACTGAGTCCATGACACTCGTTGAAAAAGTATCCCCAAGAAGCCAACGGATGGTATCCCTTTACGTGTACACCTGCGTACTTCCCTTGGTCGACTTGAGCTGTTCGAGGCGCCAACAAAAGTTTCGCTAAATTCGCGTTGAGAAAGACGCGTCGCCGCGCGCGCGTCACAGCAACGTACGCAAGATTGATCTCATCGACCGGCACATCTATCTTCACGGTACCTTCGAAGGGATCATCTCGAATCTTTACGTAATGATTTCCGACTTTACTACGAATCGCTCGCACGTCGTGCACATTCTCAAAATCATTCCAAATCATGACGTTATCAAATTCGAGTCCCTTGGACTTGTGTGCAGTGGTGAGGATGAAATCCGCCAGCTGCGCGTTCGTACCGACGTCTGCCGATTTCAGTCGATCCACCAATGTATATAGATCACTCCCGAAAGATTGAGCGATGTTGATGCGGTTGAGAGTTTCAAAATCGTCTTGATTTTCGGCGATTGCGACGATGCGCGACAGCGCGTTGTCTTCGCGCTCTTTCCACTGCGTCGGATTAGTGGACGTCAGATGAGCATTTCCGCCACCGTATCTTACGAACGATTTGATATATCGATCCTTGATGGACGACAACTCGTGCCCCTCGATTAAACGAACGAAGTCCAAGATTTGATCGAGTTTCAGAGCTTCTGCGCCCCCAATGATATGAATCCTGGTTTTCCTAGCGTTCTCGTATGACTTCCCATCTTTTCCATCTTTCCAGAGATCTTTCGCCGTCAGAAGTTTGAGCAAGGCATCGACAAGGCTCGCGTTCGATCGAACCAAAATAGTGACTTGTTCGCGCTGTGCGGTCAACGGACCGATGAGAAACACGGGCAGCGTTGGAGGCAGATTATCATCGTATAACTGTCTCGTTCTCGAGCAAGCAACGCCTCTCGTGACGAACACGCTCTTCTGATCCAAACTCGAAGGTCTCGCGCCAATGAGTAGAGCGTCCTCTTGCTTCACATTTAAAACGGCATTCGCGACATTCGCGATCTCCAAACCGAATCTGAAGCTCCTTGCGAGGCGTCTGTGTGTGACCAATTGGCTTGAAACAAACTTGTCAATTGAATTCATGACATTCATGGCCCCGGTGAAGTTGTAAATTTGTTGATGAGCGTCGCCGACGACGATCTTTGCGCACTTGTCCTGTCTTAGCACGATATCAAACATCACGGGAGATATATCTTGCGCTTCGTCCAGTAGAATTACGTCATATCCCGTCTTGTTCTTGTTTTTACTCATATCGATATCCAGGCGAGGTCGCTGCAATTGATAGAGTTTCATGTATCCGGCGTGCGTCATCGGGACGTCGTTACTCGAGCGGTCCTTCATCGACGCCCACAATCGTCGTGCTACTTCAACGTAAGTATCTCGTGAGCCTGTCGAGTGGGCGGGGACGTGCGTCGCGTTGATGTCGTCATCTGCGGAAATCAGGTAGTTGTTTAGCGTCACCAAACCGCGGCCAACTGCGGGATCATCCACGTTCCGTCCGAGCGCTTTGCAAACTTCGGAGGATCGAAGCTTATCGCCGTAATGTAGCTTTTTACCCCCAGCTTTGTACCACGTCGCCAATCCGAAAGCCAGGCCGTGAAACGTTTTCGCATCTGTGTTTGGTGGAAATTTTGTCTTTGCCTCCTCTGTGATGGCGCGATTGAACGCAAGATATAGAAACCGTATCGAGGGATGGCGCCGGGCGTACTCCACTAACGTTGTCGTCTTACCCGAACCCGCGAATGCGTGCACGACCATCCACTGCGGCGGTTTGAGCGTTGTGGAGACGATCGCTTCTTGCTCGTGTGTCAAACGGGTGTGCGTTTGCAATGAATCAGGCATGCCACTGGTCCCAGGCATTTCGCCGCCCCATTCTCGCTCTTCATGCAGATTCGCGTAATCATTCGCAGCTAATATTCTCGTCTTTAAGCGTCGTAACTCGTGACGGACATCCATATCTCCCGGTGGAAAGTTTTCTTCCAGTAATCTTGCTCGCACGTACGCCACGATCAGATGGATGAACTCGGTCAAATCTTCCTCTACAAAGTCAGAGTCGACCTGACGTAGCGCTTGGCGAGCGGCTCGGAGTATCCTCGAGCCAACAAACTCATTTTCAGCGACGTGTGCCATCGCCAGCGCAAGAACCGCCCAACCGCTCGTTACTTTTTTCCCGTGAACTTCCACTTGCACAGTTTCAAACTTGGCAATCTCCTTGATGGTGGCGGAGATGTCGCCAACCGTACCAAGAAATGAGCGACTCGCGCGCGTGTCCGCGTCGAACCAAAATCTCATTTCATCTAAAGCGAGCGTTGTTCGAGCCTCGTCGGTGAAAGTATCCACTTGCTGGTACCGAGGGTCGGCGTCGATATCAGCAGGCTTGGGTATGTGCTGAATTTTTGTTGCGCCTGACAGATGTTCATCTTGGTCAACAAAACGGCACAAAGTCTCCACGTCGAGTTCTGACTTGAACGGTAAGCGCGTTGCGATGTATCGCGCCAACGGCCCGAGGCCTATTTCGTCCACTCTTCCCGTGGCCTCGTCCAACCATCGCGTCGCGCAGCGCCGCTCGTCGCCGTCTCCCAGCGCCAAGCTCCGATTCAGCTTCACCGATGGCATGAACGCCCCGTCGTCGATCGCGTCTCGCCACGACCTACACACCAATCGCGCGTCCGCGTACGCCGAAGTCGGTACGCGCGTCAGTATTCTCTGTATCAAGTCCTTCGACAACCCGCTGTTCCGGTCCACGTCGCCTCCGCGCGCGCGCGCGCCGCCGTTTCGCTTGGCCATCGCGTTCGACCACGCGTCCATCAACGACGCCTGCTTCGGCGCCGCCCGCACTCGAGCCCGCTTCACCTCCGCGCGTTCGATTCGAGCGCGCTTTGCCGCCGCGCGCGCCGCCGCGTCGTCGTCGTCGTCGCCGGACCGACGAGCGACAGCTGGTGCTCGGTTCAAACTTTCCATCGCGCCTTTCGCGCGCGATGACGTCGACGGCGGCGCGCGATCGGCTCGGGCGTCGGTGTCATCCATCGCCTCTTCGCGCTCGCGCTCGAGGACGTCGCGGGCGGAGGAGAACATGACGACACGCGTCGGTTTGTGTTGCGCGAGCGCGAACGCGGGTAAGACGCAAAGCGAAAGTGTTGCGAATGGTTGTTACACGGTGACGCTCACGAGCGTCGAGGACACGAATATGAATGAATCGATGACGCGACGACGCTCATCGCGGCGTCCACGCGTCGGCGTCGGACAATTTTTTCCATTTGGTTCCGTCCGGAAACTTGATGCCGTTCGCGTCCCACTTGCCCGCGAGCTTCTCCCCCGACCCATCCTTGGCGTTGAAATCGATCACGATCTCGTCGTCGGTTCGGTTTATCTTCCCCGGCACCTTCCACGGCTTGAACTTTGCCTCTGTTTTCTCGACGTTGTCCTTCTTCACGCCTCTGCAGCCTTTTCCTCGCTTGAACGGCACCGGGTCCAATCCTCGCACGACCCCTTTCGCATCGATCGATCGCGGACATCCGGGGTGGTTCGGATCGTAGTAGTTCCCCGCGAACACCGTCGTCTTCGCCATCGACGCGCTCGGCGCGCACAGGGCGATGGATAAAGAGATCGCGGTTGACGTCACGAGATTCATGAGTGTCGCCTTCTCCTCGTCGTTTTCGTTCGATTGCGGACGCGCGCGCGCGGCGACGACGCGTCGTGGTCTCACGGACGTCGTCGCGGACGTGGGGGCGATCGCACGTGCGATGGACGCGGCGTTCATGGGGAGGCGATGAGTGACGGTTGGAAAGGACAAAGGCGCGTAATCACAAGTGGTTCGCTAGTCGAGCCAGGCGGTGTGATTCGAAGTTGCACCGCCGATGGATGACGTCCGGGACGTCGGGCGTAAGAAATCGAATCCAACTTCCAGAGGTTTGTCCACGCGCTCGGTGGGAGACGACGTGGACGGCGTCTGCAAGCCGTTCCGTACGCCTCGCTCCTGTTGCGTCTTGGAGACGACTAAGACCTCCGCGCGCGCGATGAACTGCGCCTTACACAGCTTATTCACCTGTCGAAGGTAATCATCGAGATCGACCCTCCCCTCGTTCAGGAGCTCGTCCAAAGCGTCGAGGGCGTCTTCGATAGCGGAGTCCTTGGCGTGCGCGTCTAAAAGTTGGGCACTCACGGCGTCCGCGCCCGCGAACGCCAACTCCGGATCGATGACTCGCTCCTCTTGTTCAGGATGCGCGTCCAACCAACTCTGTAGTCGCACTGTTTCTTCTCTAAGACGCACGGCGTCTCGCTCTAATTGATCGCACATTGCGCGAATCGACCTCTTCTCTTGTTCTAGACTTATCTTTCTCGCACACAGTTCCGTCTGGTGCGCCAACAATTTTTCAATCACGTTCACGCTCGAATCTAACTGACGCTCGGCGCCAGCCTTCAGCCGCGCGTTGAGCGTAATCATTGCTTTCTCCCTGAACCATGTTTGCGCCTCCTCGAAGTCTCTTACTATGGGACTCGTCGTCACCGCTGCCCGTTGCCTTGGCGAGTCGCCCGGCGGCGCTCGACGCTGCGCGCTAAAAGGCACTCTCTCCTGCGACGACACCCCGGCCCCGGACGACGAGCGCGAAAATGTCTGCGGCGACGTACTCTCCACGTACCCTCGCTCTACCCTAGGCTTTGAAAACAACGGTGGATCCACGCTGAAGACTCGAGCGAGCGCCGCAGCCGCCTCGCTCAGGCGTCCCGTCCGCGCGTCCCACCGCATCACTCGCTCCAATGCCACCGTCCCACTCGCATCCACGCACCCGTGATTCGGCTTCACGATCATGTCACTCGTCGGCGTCACGAAAAACATCGGTGCCGCCCGCGGGAAATCGCTCGGCGCGTACGCTCGAACTGGAATGTTGTACCGCGCGTTCGCGTAATCGATCGGTATCGTTCCTCTCACGCACAGCAACCGCTCGCTCGACCCATCAACGTGATAGAACTCATCTTCTTCTATCGTGAGCGATGGGTACGTCTGCGAGAGCGATCGGAACCGAAGCGTCAGTCGATTAAGGAAACGATAAGTCCAGTCAAGTCAAATTCGCACCTCGACGAGATCGATGAGTTGTTCGCGAACGACGCGCGCGTTACCGGACAAGGCGTACGCGAGGGCGCTCTCGCCGACGCGGTCGAGCGCCTCGAGCGCGCGGGTGCGTCTCGAACGCGATGCGGAGGACATGCGGTGACGCCCAGTAGGTCGGTCAACCGCCGAGTTGTGAGAAAAACGCCAACTGTCTCCAGGTGTGAGCCGTCGCGAGGTTGAAATGGATACGATTGGATGTTTTACAATGCGGGTTTAGGCCTCGGCGGTGCAGCCAGGGAACACGGATTCCCAAGCCTCGACGTGCGTCTCGGCGAGCTTTTTCATGACGACGGCGGCGCTCGCGAAGGCGTCGTTGATGACAACCTCGAGCTCGGCATGCACGCGAGGAAGCTCGTTCTCCATGCGTTCTCTGATCTCGTCATATTTTTTCTGCGCATCGTTCAGCGCGGATTCGGCGACACCGACGTCTCGTTGCAGTTCTTCCACAGTCACGGGCGTCGGTGAGGTGACGGCGGCGGAGAGACGCTCAAAAATGGTCGTCGGTGGCGGCGTCGGCGGCGTCGGCGGCGCGTGCAGCGCGTGCTCGAGTTTGGCGCGCTTGGACTGAAGTTTGGCTCGACACGCCTGGAGTTTCAATAAGGCGTCCATACGAATGTCAATAACTTCCTTAGCCGCGCGCACGTGCTGTAGCGCTTGTTTCATAGGCGCCCTGAATTCGCGCGCCAGCCGCTCGGCTTGAACCTCCGTCGGCGGACGCATGGCGCACGCAGCAGAGCCAACTTGTCTGAAAGCTTGACCCAATCCGCCGGCCTCTTCACCGAGCAGAATTTTCGCACCTTTTTCCTCACAATCGCCGAGAATATGCGCGCTTTCGCCGAACGTCCCTGTTAAGATGCCCAGGTTCTGAACTGAGTCAACGATGGCGCTTCCGCTCTTGAGTGCACGCTTGAGGCGCTCTTCAAGCAACAGCAGATATTCCGTCGCTTCGAGGTACTTGGGATCCTCCTCCATCATGGCGCTCTCCATTCCGGCGCCTGTAGTCCACGTCTCCGTCGCCGTACCAATGGATTGAAACCACGAATCCATCGCCCCAATTGCCGTGCCCATCGCGCCGCGCGAGTACCACGGCGCGCGCTGATCCCACGAGCTCCCACCCTGCTCCTCTAAGAACATGACCACGTCCTCGCACGTCGCCAGCACGGGGTGTTCCACCACTTTTCGCATGAACGTCTCCAACCCGCGTCTACGATGCTCCAAAAAATCACTCTGAAACGGACTCGTCGTCACCGTCTTCTCCGGAAGCGGAAACAGCACGATGCCCGGAAACAGCGTGCTCAGTCGTCCGCGAAGCCACTGAAAGTCGGAGTACCGTCTAACGACGATGGACTCATCCTTCTTGTACCCCGCCGCGTCCGCGGTCGTCTTCTTCGCGCTCACCGTGTACACCGCGTACGCCGCCAGTCCGTCGCCAACCTTGGTCGGATTCGTCACCGTCACGTCGATCGGCGCCCGCATCCTTTGCCCACCACTACCCCCCCTCGGAACGTCCGGTAATGTTTCACTCGTCTCGACCGCGTGTTCGTGTATGCTATCGTACGCCGGCGGCGCGTCCTCCGCCATCATCGTCCGCGTCGATCGTTTTGAATGAATCGCTTGGTGTTACGCCCTCGAGTCGCGCGTTCAACGCCCCGCGCCTCGCGCGCTCGACGTGCGTCGCGAGAGCGCCCGTGCGCGCGTTCGTGAACGGCGCGCGATGAGAGAGACGCGCGCGGCGTTCGTCGAGGTGTGTCGCGATTGCGTGCTCGACGCTCGAACAAGATGTGACCTCTGCGCGCGCGCGTCACTCGACGACGGCCCTCGAGCGCCCTCGAGGACGACGCGCGCGATGGAGAACATGAACAGCGGACAGTTCAAGCAGGCGATGCACAGCATCAACTACGGGCACGTCATGCAGGCGGCGGCGGAGGATTACGCGAGAGAGATGAAGATGAGCGAGCGCGAGGCAAAGGCTCGAGCGAAAGCGGCGGGCGTGGTGGACGCCAGGGAGCTGTGTGAGGTGCGTTGACGCGAGAGGGACGACGAGTTTGAGAATGAAGACGCGGGGTATCGCGCGGTGGGACGACGCGGCGTGCGAGGGACCTGGGACGGGGACGAGAGACGCGCGTTGACCGAGCGGCGACTGACGGAGCGTTCGAGCGTGTAGGATCCGGATTTGGAGGAGATTCATCGCGAGCGCGTGCAGGCGATGAAGGAGGCGCAGGAGAGGCGAATGAAGATGGAGCGAGAGGGTCACGGGACGCTGAGCGAGGTGGAAGAGAAGGAATTTTTGCCAGAGGTGACGACGACGCAACTCGTCGTGGCGCACTTTTACCATCAGGAGTTTGAGCGGTGCAGAATCATGGATAAGCATCTCAGCGCGCTATCAAAGAAGTACTTTGACACCAAGTTTATCAAAATATCGGCACCGGACGCGCCCTTCTTCGTGACAAAGCTCCAGGTGAAAGTTTTACCGTGTTTGATTTTTTTCAAAAATGGCGTCGCGTTTGACCGACTCGTCGGCTTCGAGGACCTCGGCGGGAAGGATGATTATCCGACGGCGAAGTTGGAGCGGATTTTGTTGGATGCGGGAGCGGTGGTGCCAGTGGAGAGAAATGATAGCGATAGCGAGGATGAGGCGGAGGAGATTCGAAGGGAGGCGATGAACAGGATGATTCGCGGCGGTTACCATCGAAACGACGACGACGAAGACTCGGACTTCGAATGATTCGGAAAATTTCTTCTAGCGTTTCTATTGATCGAATGAGGTCTAAATGAAGCAATCGAGCTCTACACGTCGATAAGTGTTCGGACCATCGTCCTCGAGCGCTGGGTACGCTGGAACGAGAGCGTCCTCTGAGCCGATATACAGGTTGTTGTAAATTCTCCAGTAAATGTCTCGGACCTTTCGAGCGGGATGGAACAATCCCTGCAACGTGTACGCGAGGACGAACTGAGGGCCGAGCGCGACTCGCGCGGCTTCGATTGCCTCCGTCACCGCGTTAATAACGTGCGGCGAGGGCTCGAACACGTTCGGCCAAGTGTAGTTGATCAAGTGCGTCACCGCGTCCTCGCATCCTAATCCCGCGCATCCCAAAGCGAGGTGTTTCACCGTAACCGCAGCTGTTTGACGATGTACCAAGTCTCTATCCATGAGCGCGTCCTCGAGCAACGGAGTGATCGCGTAGATGTAATCCTTGCCCATCTCTCCGATATACTCAAACAAGAAGGCCAACGATTTCAAAACACCGTTTTGCACGTTGATCTCTGGGACGCGGTATTCGTTCATCAACGCAGGAAGAACGGTGAATGGCGCACACGTCTCTGCGACGATGGCGATGGCCACAGTTGTACAAACGCGCATCTGACGCTCTTGCACCTTCAGGTTGTTCAGTAGCGTAGCGAGCACATCTTGCGGGCCGATGGCCTTGGCGATGTAACCAAAGGTGTTCACCGTCGCGCGACGAATCGCCTTCTTCGGCGCCTTCAGCAACTCAAGAAGCTCGAAGCAAATTCGCATCCATTCGCGTGCCGCGACGTACTCGGCACCGCGATCAGCGATGCGTCCGATCAAGTCAATGGTGTTCTCTTGCACCTTTTCGTGCCTATTCTTCAAAATTGGTGTCAAGCGAGGCAAGAGATCCTTGATAGGAGGCGTCATTCGCGTCATGCCTTGAACGCTCACGATTGCCTTCAGGGCACCCAAGATGGAACCGAGGACTTCTGGGTACTCTTCACCTAAGTATTCGTACAAGACCACGCCCAAGTGCCCGAGCAGTTGCTCTTCCTCGCATTTTCGCATGACGGGAGCGATGGCGCTGATCAAATCGGCCGCTTGCTCGCGAATTTCTGGACTCTTGTTGTTCATGCGCCACTTGATCGTCCCACAAATCTGTGGTAAGTACGGCTTGGCGCGAAGTCCGAGAGCGTTGACTATCGTAGCGACGCCCTTGAGCATGATGTCACCCTCGTCCGTGGTTTGCTCTTGGAAAGCGTAGAGCATGCCGTCGATTAGAAGCTCTTCCATACGCGTGTCCACCGCGGTGACGCCGAGCTCCTCGATCACCTTTGTGATAGTCTCCATCACCATTCGACGATAAGGCTCGGATTCATCTTTCAAATCTTCGACGATTCTGCCGATGATCTCCGCGGCGCCAACCTTTAACGCGATTTCTAACGTTGTCTCCACGAGTTGCTGGTAGTTGCGTCGGTCGAGCGCCATGCGGCGCACCCAAAAATGTTTGAAGAACTCGGGCATGACCTCGTTACGAATGTACTCGGGTTCGACTCCATCTGTGGCAACGCACTGCTTAACCACCTTGAGTGTGATCTTCTTCATCTCTTCATCCGCCGTGGCGAACTCTCGAATCAGAATCACCATCACTTCGCGAGTGTAGTAATTGGCATACATTGCGTCCATGAGCGGGATGATGAAACCAATCGCCTTGAGGAAAGCCGCCAAAACCTTGCCACGATGGGCACGAACGCCTTTCCATAGCGGCTTGAGGACATTGTCGAAAGACTCGATACCGTACGGGGTAGCGGCTTCTGCGAGCGCGGCGATCGAAAGTGCCGTAATGGTGCGCACTTTTTGGTTCTCATCGCTCAATCCGTGTTCGATGATATCGACTAACGATTTGAGGTGCGGGAGCACGGCGCATCCAAGAAGGATGGAAATTTGCTGAACGATTTTGATACCAGTGTGACGAGCTTGCCAGCTCTTCTTACTGTGACACACCGCCTTCAAAAATGGAAGCAGAGACTGAACACCAAGCGCCTGGGCGACCACGGCAAAAGCTCTCGCCGTGGTGTTTCGCACGTACTCATCCACGTTGTCGATGTCTGGACGCATCGCGGCAATCATCGTCGCGAGGCCCGCCGCCTTGGCGACGTTACTGATAATTTCGCGCCCTTCGACGCGAGCGTAATAGTCCTCATCGATGAGCAAGGGCTCAATCACGACGAGAATCTTGTGCACGTACGGTCGCACCAAGTCGTCGAGCTTGTACAAGATGCGATCAATCACTTTGACAAGCAAGTGACGCTCTTGATCCTCCAAAGTCGGAGACATGAGAAGAGGCAAGATTTGATTGAAGAGAGGCCCGGCGCCGAGCTCTTTCGCCCGGTCAGTGATTTGTCGCAACGCCGACTTACGCTGCTGTGGCGTGCCATTCTTCACTCTAAGTAACAATCGCATGATTTTGCGCTCCTTCTGTTCCTCGATGGTCAGAGCCTCCTCGTCCGTCTCCTTTAACAAAGGCGCGAAGTATTGCACGTCTTCGGGTTTCATCTCGGGCAATCCCTCCGGCGCGAGACTGACGTCAAACTTTTGCCCGCGATCCTCCTCCGGAATGGAGAAGAAACCGGCGTTTGCCCCGTACGGCATCGGCGTCTGCGTCAGCTTTCGCGCCGGAGTACGAATGGGAACGTAGCTCGCGGGCGGTTCGAGAATCTTGTAGCCCTCCGAAGGCAACAGCTCGTCGAGTTCCTCATCAGTCTGCGGGCGGTTCCTCTCTTCGATCTCGCGCTGCCAGCGCATTTGCTGATATTGCTCGGGAGTCATGGGGACGTTACCCTGCAACATTGCCTGATGCGCCGCGATCTGCGCTGCAGACGGCGTGGCCAAACCGGGAACAGTCTTAGGCGTCTCACCACCCGCGTGAATGACCGGAGTCTCTCCACCGGTCCACGCCGGCGTTGCGCTCGGGTCTCCGCTGGCTCGAACCATCGGCGTCTCGTCCCACCGGCTCCGCGAGCGTCGAGGCGTTGCCTTCGCGTCGCCCGCGTTGGTGCCGCTCTCCATGGTCTCCCACTGCGACGTGTGCTTGGGGGTCTCATCCCACTTGGACGGTCCGCGCGGCGTGGCGTCGTCCCAACGCGCACCTGTCGCCGCACTATCGTCGCTCTCCCACTCGCTCACGCGAGGCGCGGCCGGCGCCGGTCCAGCCGCGCTATCGTCTGGCTTGGCGTCCCAGCGACGCTTACGTTTCGCCGCCCTTGGAGCGTCCGACGCCGCGGGTTCGCTCGTTCGCGCCGCAGCGAGTCGCGCCTCCTCCGCCAAACGTTCCGCTTCTTCTTTTTGTTTCTTTTCAATGTTTCGCAGCGTGTTATCTCGCTCTCGATCGATCGCCGCGTGTTGCATGCGCTCGGCGTAGCTTCGACCCTCGCCCGCATCCTTCTCCGACCCCTTCCCAGGACTGAGCTCGCGCTTGAACCGTCGTTTACTGTACGCACTCTCTCGATCGATCACTTTTTTCGACTTTCCGAATCCAAGCGCTTCATCGCTCTCCAAGTCTTCATCCTCCTCGGCGTCGAGCGGGCCCTCCTCTAAGAATTCCTTCGGCGCGCCGTACGACTTCAACGGCGCCTTCACGCGCGTCTTCACCCGCGCGCTTCCCCCCTCCTCGTCCACGTCCTCCACCTCGACGCGCGCCGCGCGTTCCATCGCTCGCCCGTCGCCCTCCCTCGACCCACTCGCCGCGCGCGTCGCCCGTCGCGCCTCGCGCAATCGTTCAATCGCTTCAATCGCTTCGATCTCATCCCCCATCGCGCGCGTCGACCCGCTCGCGCGTGCCGACGGCGCGCGCGCCCGTCGCCGCGCCCGTCGTCGACGCCCTCTCGACGCCCGTCGCGTCGCGGTCACGCGCGCGCCGGTACCCGTCGCCCGTCGCCCGTCGTGCCGCCGTCAAACCCTCGATGTGTCCTTCGTCACCCCGCGATGTGTCCTTCGTCACCCCGCGGTGGTCCCCCGCGCGCGCGCGAAGACGCGTCCCGAGGGGCGCGATCGGACCGCACGCCCCCGGGAGACCCCAGGGCGAGCGCCCGCGCGGTGGATCGCCCCGTCCGGGGATCGCACGTCGTCCCGGTGATTGACATTGAAATCCCGCGTCGCGGTCGCGTCGCGGTCGCTCGCGGTCGCGCGACGGCGCGTTCGTGGGCGTGGGCGAGGGTCCGCGCGCGGGTGACCGCGTTGAGGCGGCGGCGACGGCGGCGTGGGCGCGGCGGCGACGTCGCGCGCGATGGCGATGTACGTCAAGGCGTTCGCGCTCGTGGTGAAGACGGCGAGTAAACCGCTGGCGAAGCGGCTGCGGGTGATGATCGAGGAGAGCGCGCGGGCGAGACGGATCGCGATCGACGCCGCGCGATGGGCGTCGCGGGTGAGCGCGTTCGTCTCGCGGGACGACGTCGCGATCGGGGAGAGCGGCACGCGGCGGGCGCGCGCGGCGGAGAAGAAGACGCTGGCGCGAGCGGCGATGAGCGAGGAACAGGCGCTGCGGGCGGCGAGTGAGTTCGTGGGGGAGGCGTTCGTGTTCGCCGTGGCGGGCGGTGTCGTGTGGTGGGAGGTGGACAAGTCGAACGCGAAGGATGAAAAGAGACGGGCGGACGCGGCGGCGGAGCGAGCGCAGCTGAGCCTGATCATAGACGCCCAGCACGAGACGATGGCGGACATGGCGGCGCTGATCGAGGATCTGATGGCGTATAAAAAGGCTTCGACGGCGGCCGTCGCGGCGTCGCAGCGCGAGGCGGCGGCGCGCTGAGTAAAAATTGTGCGGAGTCGCAGACGCGTCGCGCTCGCGTCCGACGCTCCCGGTCATCGCGTCTCTTTGTATATAGAACTATTTGTGCGTAGCGTCATCGAGGAGGGCGTCGACTGCGATCGCGCATCGAGCGAGGCGTCGACGCGCAATCGCCGGGTTTCTCCAGTCGCCGCGTCACTCTCGCGCTCGTCCTCGCGAGAGCGAGCACGAGATGAAGGGCGTGGGTAAGGCGAAGAAGAACGCATTCATCGCGTTCCTACGCGATGCCGTCTCGCGAGACGACGCGTTCGCCAACGCGCTCGCGACGACGACGAAGGAATACAATTCGTGGAGCAAACTCTGCCGGGAGCGAGGACGCATCGACGCCGCGCACGCGGATGCGCTGCGGCTGCTCGACAGCAAGGGACATATGTTGAACGTCATCGACCGCGTGTGCGAGCGCGGTGAGGGAGAGAGCGAGGAAAACTTGGCGAAAGTGTCCGAGGCGTGGGAGAGCACCAAAAAAGTGCAACGAGGAAAATTTGAGAAGAGCGGAGGGGCGCGGGGCGTCGCCGAGGCGCGTCTGCGCAAGAAAGAGGCCAAGGAGCGCATCAACGCTACTCGAAAAGAGCGCGAAGCTCGGGAGAGCAGGGATAAGGAGCTTAAGGCTGCGAGAGTGGAATACGCGGCAAAGGTACACGAAGCGCGAAGCGCGGGCGCGTGCTTGGATTGGTTGAACATGGGAAGATGTCGGTTCGCGGAGGACTGCCAGTTCACGCACGACTCGATGTCCAAAGGTATCTTGAAGCAGCTGGCGATCACCGTCGGTGCGGAGACTGGAGACGTGAAGAAGGAGAGGAATACGGCGGAAAAGGCTGAGCGCAAGGCGCGAGCGATGGCATTGAGAGGGGCGACCGGCGGCACCGACGGCGTTCAGGATGACGTTATCGGTGGTCAAACGTCTTCGAGCGACGACGAAGACGACGACGGAGACGATGGCGTGCCCGGATTTTTGAAGATTGAACGCGCCAGACGCGCCGCGGAGGCGCTGTTATCGACGAACAAGTCGAAAAAAGCTGAACCGTCGAGGCAAACGCAGAAAGCCAAGCATTTCAACGAAAAACAGCTCGCAAGGAAGCAAACATTTTTGAAAGAAGGGAAAAATCAACCGCTCATCAAGAGAGGGCTGAAGCGTGTCTCAGAAAGCGTTCACACGGTTCGGGAGAAGAAGAAAAAACCACGCCACGTCGACTCGGAGCGGAGGAAGAAACGCGTGGGCAAGGAGCGCACATTCTTTGGCGACGTGTAGTTTAACATATGGTTCACCGCTATTACATCGTCCAACTCTTTCGCGAATGCTCGACCGAGGATGACTAAAGTGCCGAGCGCTCGTCGCGGCGCCGCGTTCGCGTTCGCCCGCTCGACGCTCGCGCCCCTGGCGAACGGTACGAGTACATCATACCGAAACTCGCACACTACAGGTAAGTCACGGCGAATTTTATCATGGTCTGAAGCTATGAATACGCGCGTGAAATAAATGAAGCGACACCCTTTTTCCAACACCCTTTTCCAACACCCTTTTTCCAACACCCGTTCCCTCTTGGAGGGATATTCTGTCGATTTCAGTATTTAAATGAATTATGCGCGATGAAACACTAAATTTCGAAAGGTCCAACCGTCGACGTCTAACCGTCGCCGATGTTTCGACCGTCGCACCGTCCGTCGTCACGACGCGACGCGTTGCCCGGCGACGATCGGGAATCTTCGTCGTGCGCGTGAACACGCGCCGAATTTTACGGATTCGAACGCCGTCTCGGCGCCTTTTAAGAGTCACCGGAGCGCCTATCGTGAATCCCTTGAACCTGCCGACGCCAAACCGGGAGCTGACTGGACACGTCGAAACGGAAACGAGCGACGCGCTCGGAGGTCGTCACGTCGCGCTCACGCGGGTCACTCGACGAAGATATAAGTCGAAGTGTACCCTGTCGATCTGTCCGGACGCGGCTGTGCGAACATGAGACGCACGAAGTATGAGAATTGCGGCGCCGGCGCGCGCGCGCGCCGGCGCGCGCATCGGAGCTCCTTTACGGCATCGTTTGCGATAGTGATCGCCTCAATCGTGATCGTCTGGCGTGTCTCCGGTGTGTTGGGGGGATCGTCGTCTTCACCGCCACCACCACCTCAAGCCTGTCACGGCGGCTGGTCGACCACGGTGCGGTGTCCATCCCTATGCTGGAGGCCCGAGGACACTTATACGGAAAAGTATTCGATACACGTGCACGCAAAACACGGCGGAGATGCTTGCCCCTATGGAAATGGACACACGCGCACGTTAAAATGCCCAAAGGGCCACATGTCCGTCTGTCCACCACCCCCGGCGCCGCCGAGTCCGCCACCGCCGCCGAGCCCGCCGCCGCCGCCGAGCCCGCCGCCGCCGAGCCCGCCGCCGCCGCCACCGAGTCCACCCCCACCGAGCCCGCCGCCGCCACCTGGTATGGGGCAGACAGCTGAGGTGGTTTTCGGATCAGCGGTTGCACGCATCGCGAGTTACGCGCACGATTTTGAAATTGCGGTACACCATCCCAGTTGTGACGAGGCAAACGACTGCTTCAGTAGTCACAATGAAGAAAGCGTGAGTAATCACGTATACGGATTAAAGTGCTCCGTGACCGTGAAAGAAGACGGTAAATCGTGTCCTACATACGGCGAACACCTCCCGTGCAGACGCTGGGATGACTTCTATCCCAGAACGCTTGCCCTGATGACCACGGATGGAAAGCACGCCACCGGCAAGCACACCATCGACTGGGAGTGCTACTTCGCGACTCCGAATGGCAAAGTCCCGAATTCTTCGACGAAGGGAAGTCATGCGTTTGAAGTGATTCCGGGTTGCGATATTTACATGCCGTCGGGCGCCGACGACAGCGACACGTCGACAAAGACCACGATGGCTCACCAAGAGCTCGTCAAGTACATTCTCTTGAGTCATGATTCGTTTCAAAACGTCAAGTGTACCACACATGAGATTTACCGTGTGAAAGAGGAGCTATTTCGAAAGTATGATGACGATCCTTTGGACGGCGTGCTTTCGGTTGCCGAGTTACGAACGCTCCTCATCGACCAGAGCGCATCAACACACATCCTGGATCACTGGAATTCAGAGTTCAAAACGAAAACATCTGGACAAGATGTGAAGGTAACGATCGTCGATATGATGGAGACAGAAGTCTACCCATTCAAGTGCCAGGGAGAGTCTCCGAACAGCATGAGCCCAAGCGCCGTCACGTACCCAACCAAGGATTGGAAAACCGAGGAGGCGTGTACGAACGATCTCCGCGAGCTCACCACAAAGTGGTCGTACACCACTCTGCCCGATCACGATGACTTTATTTGCGCGTACGTCGATGGTGTTTTGTTCGACCAGATGAGCGTAGATCGCAATAACCCCGGAGAGGTGACGCACACGAAGCTTCCGAACAATGTGTACGCACCCACAGCCTTCGTCGATATCCGGCCAACCACGAGCGATTTCTTGGATGAGCACGACTCCCTCGTCGCATCTTTCGCGTTTGACGAAGAGGTTCTCGAGGACGGTACGATGGTCTCGACCTCGCCGCGAGTTGGCGGGCAATCGGCAATGCCGATGAAATTGGTGCCAACGGCGAACACGCGAACGATCGCCACGTGCCACCTTGGATTTGGCTTCATGTGCATGAAGCCTGCGCAGAGTGCCGATTATTCATACTCTTTGAAGACATCTGACGCCCTTGGCGATAACATCGCGATGAGCGCTTGGGTTCACGTTCCAGAGTCTAGATGCGGCAGTCCCAAAGCCGGTTCGGATACGTCGAGGATGATGCTCGCGCAGTTTGATGGGCTGATCGAAAGCCGCGAGCACAGGTTTGAAGTTTACTTAAAGCCGAGCAACAAGGATACGTGGCATTTGACCGCTTCTTATTCGACGCGTCCTCGAGGCAAGGGACCGTATACCGTATCGATGCAGAAACAGCACGCCATGAAATGCGACGGGGAATGGCATCTTGTCGCGTTTACAGTCAACAAAGAAAGTTTCCTTACCCTTTACGTCGACCCGACGGCCGATCAGAAAGCGACGACGACATCGCAGGGGACGTACACTCGTGATACTGCGTGGCCGGTTGAAAAAATGAGCTCACTAGATGAGGTCACAATGCTAGGCGCCGTAGATGTCGAAGTCGACGACGTCCGTGTCTACACCGGCGTCGTGCGAGATGCGACGTTCATAGACACCTCGAGGTGTTCGCATCACAGGCGCTGCGCCTACCGCGCGTACGCTTCCGCGAAGTCAAGGCGTGTCGTGTGCCTAAGTGGCGTTATTTCCAAAGCTGACAAGGCAACGTACACCAAGTACGCATGCGTTGGAGGGCTGTATTACGACGGCTCTCCTGTGGATGTCTCGGCAAGATTTGATGTCGCTGGGGTCGTGTTCAGCTACCGAGACACTTCGTGGGGCGAGCGAAACTTTGAAGTCCTCCGCCGAAACACGTTCAAGGAAACTATATCGGACTCGCCATATGAAGTGGTTGTTCTCATAGACAGCGATTTACAATACTGTCATCGTCTTTTCAGTCCTGTTATTTACATCGATCGCGAGGCTGCTGCGTCTCCTGGATCAACTTGGTTGTACAAAGTGGCAGCGCAAACATCTACGGGGCGCGTCGTGGTTTCCACTCCATTCAGTTTTACAACTCCTTGGAGAGCAAACTTGAAGGGGTATGTGTACGCCGGGAGTTCAACGGTGGCTGTCCCTTACGTGCGCGTGTGCGCCAACTACTACGAACCCGTCGAATCGAATGCACAAAGTATTTATGATCCATCTGATGTCAGTCAAGTATTTCCTCGAGCTGGCGAAGCAGACTATGAGCCCAGTATCAATCTGGCCAAATTTAAGCGCGCGTGGACGTCGACGAAAAATGTGAAAGCTTACACCCTCACAGATGGCGAACACATCGCCAAGGGTAACGAGATTGAACTAGTCGAGAGCGACTACGCCATGGTTGATTTGGGTAGCTGGAGTGCTGTACAGACGGTGCAAGTGTGTATGGCTGCGCGATCGCTGATACATGCGCCTGAGCTCATTTCCCTCACGGAGTCGATGCTAGTTCATTCTGGCACTCAGGTTGACGAGGACATGTTCATCAACCGACCACCGTACTCAAATGACATCGTGAGAAAGATAAAAGAAGGCGTTGTGCTCAAGACTCCGTCGTCCAAACAAATAAAGCTCAAGCCTGGCGATACAGTCAAGGTACGTTTTTGGGTTAAAATTGATTCAGACGCAAAGGAGGTCAAGGTGCATTTCGTGGAGCAACAGAGTAACAACAAATTGGGTAATTCGCTCGTCGTGAAGCCGAAGCGTGCGCAGTGGTTCAAGGTGGAACACAGATATGAAACGAAAAGTACCGTTGACGTGGGTTTCATGATCTCAAGTGAAGGCTCTGGTTCTTACTACCTCACGGACGTCGACTGTCGCAAAAACACGCTGACGTCAAACATGAAGGGGATCGATGCGTCGAGCGCGTCCGGTGTGACGATGGAGTCCAAAAGCTCCCCGCCGCGCGGACTGAGTGACGTCGTCTTGAGCGTCAAATCACGCTTGAAAGTATCAATGGACTCCCCCGAGGAGCCGCCTGTCCGCGTTTTGGACGGAGACAGCGTCATCTTCAGCTTTTGGGCGAAACAAGCGTTGGCTTCTTCGCAATCGCGAACGCTGACCGTCTCGGTGCAAGGCGCATTCGAAGAAACTGGCCAAGGTGAAGTCCAAATTGACGGAACGAGATGGCGCCGATTTTCTGTCACTCTGAAATCATCCAAAGATCAGCAGCTTAAGGTACCACGTATCAGCTTAGACGCGGAGGGCCCTGCAGTCATGCTCACGGGCTTTGAATTCCGGCAAATGGCGGAAGCCAGCGTCGGTTTACCCATCAAGGTGCAAATTCAGGACTACGATCCCACTGACACTAAGGATTTTGGATCTGCGTGCGTGCACGAGGGTGAACACGCAATCACTGACTTGGGGGATTGCGTGACGTTTTCTTGCAAAGGAACAAAGTTGAGCTTGGTTCACGGACAGTTTGTCACCGTGAACGCATTGAGGGATGTCAAGCTGACGGAGATCAAAGCCGTGGGGTACACCACTAGCTGTCCCTACACCGCGGTAACTGACATCGAGGGATCGTACGACATCGTTATAAAGGACACAACGGGTCAAACTTCGGTGAATACGCACATCAATGTCGGAGCTTTCAAAGGAGAAACGTTCGAAGAGACGGCGCAGCCAATCTTGAACACGACGGACAAATCCGATCCTTTCAACGTGCCGAGCAAGGTGCTGCTCGTACTTCGGGAGGATAACCTACGTAATTCAGCTGTAGCGCAGGCGGGTGCGAATGCGCGCACGACCGATCATGATGTTTTCGATGATTCTCTTCACGGTGTGCTAAACGATTATGATCACGGGAACTTGACGAGCGCGCGGAGAAGGCTTCTCGGGAATACAAACAACAGAAATTGTGACGAAAAGTTAACGGGCAATGGGCGTTCGTACCGGGGTTGTCAAAGGAAAACGAGAAGTGGTAGAACTTGTCAAGCTTGGTACAGCCAGTCTCCACACAGACACAGTAACTTCAAATGGAACCCCTGGTTCGACGCAGGCTGGCACAATAAGTGCCGAAACCCCGACGGGAGCTCCACCATTTGGTGCTATACAACGGACTCGAGGAAGAGATGGGAGTATTGCGACCCGGTGCAGCCGCCATCGCCGCCGCCACCGCCGCCGCCATCGCCATCGCCGCCGCCGCCGCCTGGGCGCGCAGTCGCGGGCAAAATTGAATGGTCTCTCCTTGACGGCGTGAAAAGCAATTCTCGCGGTACTTTGTCCAAAACAAGAAGCGGATCCAACTGGAATGCCGGCGCGGTGAGTCGTCGGGCAATCAGAGGACCGTCTGATGCTGTGCACGGCATCGCAGCCTCTTGCAAGATGGGAGAGGACATGATGATCGGGCTCAACTCTCAATCGTCCGCCGCTGAGTCCGGGTACGATAAATTGGATTTTGCGCTGTTCTGCGACGGTAGACGTACAAATTGGTGGGGGAAAACTTACCGCTCGACAAAGTTGAGTGCGTACGAGAATGGAAAAAAGGTTGAGCTGTCGAGTACTTCTTACAATACCAATCAGGTCTTGAAAATCGTGATCAACGATGGAAAGGTTCAGTACTACCGTGATGGCAAGTTGTTAAGAACGAGCTCATCGAAGCCGAGGTATCCAGTCCACGCAGACGTGTCAATGCGTACGCCAGATAGTGCCATTTACAACGCGCACTGGCTCGAGCCTGCTCCACCGCCGCCGTCGCCGTCGCCGCCGCCGCCGTCGCCGTCGCCACCACCACCGCCGCCACCGCCGCCGCCGCCGTCGCCGCCGTCGCCACCGCCGCCGTCGCCGTCGCCGCCGCCGCCGTCGCCACCGCCGCCGCCGTCGCCACCACCGCCGCCGCCCGCGCAAGCGAAGTTGAACGAGAATATCGATTGGGTGCAGCTGGACGGTGTCAAAGCAACACCAGAGGGCGATGTCGTAAAAACAAGAACATCGCACGGTTGGGAGAAAGGTGTGGTCGCTGGCGCAGTGAGTCGCCGCGCCATCAAGACGCCCGACGGTTCCGTGCGCGGTATCTCGGCCAAATGTCCGCAGTTTGGATCGAGGCAAATGATTGCGCTGAACTCGCAATCGACCGCTGATCCGGCGGACTATCAAAGTCTGGACTTCGCCCTGTATTGCGATGTCGCTACTCAAACGCTCAAAGTGTACGAGAACGGACAGAGAGTTACAGCGGGTTGGAAACGCGGAGATGGTAGCACACAGTTCTCAACGACCGATACCATTCAAATTGTCATCAATGATCGGGGACAGGTCGAGTACTTCCAAAATCGGCTCCTCCTGTACACAAGTGCGAAGCGCCCGAAATATCCACTCCATGCAGATGTTGCGATTTACCACGGTAAATTAACGAACGTTCGTTGGGTTGAGGTGATTCATTCTCCACCACCTTCTCCCCCACCACCCTCACCGCCGCCGCCGTCGCCGCCGCCACCGTCGCCGCCGCCGCCGTCGCCGCCGCCGCCGTCGCCGCCGCCGCCAATGCACGATTTTGATGAAACGGATCTCAACGATGACGCAAAAGTAGACAGGGCAGAGTTGATCGCCATCATCGAAAAGGGCGCGAGCTTTCCATCAAACGGGCATGCCATCGTCTCCGATGAAATATGGAACAGCTTTGATCACGACAAGGATGGTTTCCTGAACGGAGCTGAATTTACGCTCGTCGCTCATCGCATGGCTCTTCGCGAGATTTTCATTGAGCCCGTTCTCGTGTTCCCGACTCGAAAATCTGTGAATGAATACGATTTCAAGACGGTGCAGACAGTGGATGAGCCACTCTCAAGTGATTCTCATGAAGACACGCGTCATCAAGTGTTCTCACGGGCGTGTGAGAACATCATCGTGCCTCGCGTCTCTTCCGTTGTTATTCCATACTCATCAGCCGGGTGGAATGATTTGTACAGGAATTTTACACGCATGCTGGGGGGTGATCCATTGACAAAGATCACTGACTGTCGTCCTCTCGAAGAAGCGGAATTTGAAGCGGTGGTTTTCGGTGAAAGCAGTTATCAGTACATCATGCCCATGCTTGGGAGTGCGGCTGGATCAAACGCAATCTTTATCGATTTAGATGCAACAAAGTTGCACGATCGCATCAAAGATGATCCCAAAACGCTCTTTGAGCGCGTCAGTCGCCTTGGACTAGAGGTTTCACTTTGGTCACGACGACACAAGCCTGACGTCGTCCACGTATTTGACCAGAACGACTATGATCAAGGATACGGTGCTGAAATAGTGCCGGATCCATCTCAGGATAAAGTATTCTCTGACTTCGCTGAAATACAAGCCACGAAACTCGCCTTGAGTCATAGAGGCACGATCGAGAAGAAGTTTGCTGACGACACCGCAGTGATTGTCACGGGCGCCGTCATGTTCCCAAAAGAGTGGACCGAACTTTCGGAGTGCGGGCTTTTTGAGGCAGTAATTGCGGTAAAGGATGAAAGCGCTTCGAGCGACCCGGCAGTTTACAAGACGGACGAGGGTGGTTGGTTCGAATTTGCGATCACCAGTGGTAAATCGTACACCATAACAGCGAGTTATCCGAACCACCGAATTTGCTTCTCTGGTGGCACGATCGACGAAGCGACTCGGCTTTGGAGTTGCGACAGCAAACCCGTCAGCGTACGCCTCATTTCAGTGACTGAGACAACATACGTGTTCTTCACAGACACGACGACGTCCAATGTTGATCTGGGATTGTACCAAGGTGAGTGCAATGCGTTGTACGGCGGAGCGACATTTAAAGTTACCCCAATTAATGGCTGTCATCCTCCGGCTTACTTTACATCCAAAGAAATTAACGCGTGGATCGCACCGGATCGAAACAAGAAAAATGCAGAACAAATTCCAAGCAGAGAAGAAAACGCCAACGGACGGAGATGGCCCCTTGCTGCGCTGGACTATTCAATTACGATAGAAGAGGGACCTTCAACGAGCAATATGAGCGCCATGATTAAGGAAAAGTATCCCAACGCTGAGTGTGAGATAGGCGCCGGTGGTGTCGTGCAGTACTTCCGAGAACGTCCGGAGGGACTTGAGCGGATCGCCCCGATGCGAACGGAACATACCTGGATATCGATAAGGTATAAATATCATGGCTACCTGTGCTCAGAGATCGTCGATCTTCCCCGCATCAAGCGAGATGATGACATCTGCTGGGATCGGGATTCAATCAAAGATGGTGGTATTTTGCGACAACATTTTGTCGGCGATTCGCAATTTTTCGACGAATCGAGCTTACCAATCTCCGACAAATACGTGCGCGCGAAGGTTTTTGAATTGCATTTATCGAATGACAAGCTTGAGGCGTGCACGACTTTCCCGGGACCTAAAACCAAGACTCCGGACGCACGTTCATGGGTAGAGTTCCGCCAAAGCATTACGGACATTGAAACGAATCCGTGTCACACCAACAGAAACGGTGGACCGCTGTGCGATTTCGACATCTCGATCGATGGAGATGGATATCTTCAGTTTCCCATGGAAGACCAGACGCTATCAAACGAGCGGCTCATCATTCCTGGTGTCCCGAGGTTCTCCGGTAATTTCCGCAGAGCACTGGAGCTGCATGTTTACCGCAACGATGGATCAAAAACGATGATCGTAAACACCCTCCGCGAACTTATTTCTCTTGGCTCTAGACCTCGAGGTGAAGGCATGTATGGTGAAGACAGCGACGATGTGTACTGGGCAACTGTCCCGTTGGAAGGTCTCGTGTATACGACTGTACATGATCCGCCTGGAGGTAACTCTTACGCTGAGCTCATGCTCGGAACTGAAGTGAAGATGGAAATTGCGACTACAGACCAGCAATCGGCTTCCTTTAAGAGATCGTACTCGGCTGGTGGTGGTGTTGAGGCATCATTGAAACAGGCGGTGGGTGCTAATATTGGTTACACTGTCGAGGGTACCTTTCAGTTTGAGCTGCCCATCTTCAGTATCGGCGTCGACTTCACACACGCCGAAGATGGTCCAGAGTTCAAAGTGGCGCAATCTCACGGTGGAGGCTGGGATATGATAGCGAATACGAATCGCGTCATACGTACGAGCACGGATGTTGCGATCCCTGGAAGATCTGGCGACGTCATTTTAGGTGGTGGCGTCGAGCTGGTGTATAAAATGTCAGACTCGCTTGATATTCGCGAAAAAGATTTGTGTCTCGAAGTGACACAAAAGATAACGTGGCTACCAAGGAGGCCGACGTCTTACGTGTTCCTCGTGCACACCGTCGAGGCTATGGTTATTCCTAACCTTAGGTACTTGTTAGCTGTGGTGCAAGCTGGAAACAACATCGCTGGGGACACATCTGGGATGACACACATGGAATGGCCCTCATATTTGACGGGCAAAATTGCTGCATGGGAAAGAACACTTCAGTGGTCGTCACCTAGAGTGTACAAAACTCCAGCACCTGGGAGTGTCCAGTATAAGCGGAACACTAGCGCCGTCGATCGTATCATGACACCGTTCCTTGACGAGGATTCCTTGATGGGCGCCGAGGCCCAGTCCAAACTAGTAGAGTATCGTCAGTTCTTGACCCAGGACGTGTCCGACTGGGATGGTGACGATTCATCAGATCTCTTGCCTGCGCTGAAGCAGCAATGGACTTCCCTCGATTCCCTCGATGGCACCTCTTTTGCAATCGATGGCCCAGGAGGCGCTTTTGACTACGCGAATGGTGCCGAAGGATCTGTTACGAAACTTAAGGACAAGATTGAAACTCCGTCGCCTGATGGCGACTGGAATCAGTTATCCGATGCTACGGCGAGCTCTGATAAAAAGTTATGGATGGCGAGAAAGAACAGGTTAACAGACGCCAATTTTCTGAAGCGCCTCAATGTGGACGACGATTCGGCACCGACAACAATGGGCATGAACAGCGCGACGCGACGGGATTTAGATGGTGTTTATTACGCATGCAGGCGAGAAAAGTGCAGCACTGGCGAGCTCGATCGACGCTTGCAACTCATTGGTCCCTCAGGCAGCGATTCAACTTCGGAACGCAGACTCGGTGAGTTTAACCACTTTCAAGTTTCGCTCGAAGACACTTCGAGAGTCATGGCGTCGTTCACTGGTCGTGAGGGACCGCTTGGTTTCGGCCCAAAGGATTCCGCATCAGAAGAAGGAACGATATTGCTTTCATTTTCAGGCGGCGGGCCGTCGACGGAATTCATTTTTTCATCAAATGAGAACATTGCAGGAGAAGCTTTCTCGTGGACTCTTGGTATGCAGGCCTCGGCTTCAAATGCTATCGGATTAGCAGTTGGTATAACCGTCGCAAAGACTCACTATAAACACTCAGCGTCCATGAGCAGAGATGTCTCGAAAACTCGAGCTGTTGCGTGGGCAAAGTACGAACGTATGAGTACTGTGTATTCTCTCGGAGATCCAGAATTCGGTGATAAGTTCGTCGTTCAAGTTAGTTCGGATGTCAGATTTGGAACGCCAGTCTTTATAACGCAAGGTGGAAGAAGCAAATGTCCTGGCGAAAGACTCACCATGTTCCGCGAGGCTGGTTTCAAGATCACGCGGGACACGACGCATAACGAACGTTTGAATCCAGGAGAACACGCCATCATACAGCTCAAGATAGTGAACGAATCCCCGTACAAAGAACGCGCCAATATGGGACTGCGTCTCGTGGATGGCACTGCCGACTGCGTTCAACGAATTGTCTTCGCCGCGATGCGTGCTGCTGAGCTTGACGCGGACGACGCGAACAAAGTACAGTCAGCCGTGAACTCCACCGCCGACGGCCACGAATGTTTAGCGTCGGAATCAAAGGACGTAAAAAAGCTCAAATCTGATGTCGCGTCCCTGATGGATGATTACAACGCGATGGCCACGAATGCAGGGATGAGTCTCGCCAGAACTATTGCGAAATTGACTCAAACGTCCGCCCCTGCGGGTGAGGCACTTCAAGGGATGAAATTTGCGATAAACGGGATTCACATGTGGGCTTTCGGAGAGGTCTTGCCACTCAAACGGCTCGCCGGCGATTTTTTGGACACGCAAAGTGTTGTTCACGAAAGCCATCTTGCACTGTCAGTGGAGCCGGCTGACGGACTCTACGAAAGTCTCCATCTTGGTGTTTCCCTTGTCAGCTTGTGCGAGTCGATGATCGAATCGTACATGGATCGACCAATAATTTCCAGTACCACGTCACTTGGCGCGATGTCTTGGAGTATGAAGTGTCCAAAAGTAGCGTTCCATCCGTCCACGCTCAACAAGCCGGATGATTATTTCGTGAAGAGTGCAAAGTCTGATTCCACCGTGCTGAAGCTTCTCGCCATCAATCCAAATCGCTATTCACTGTGGCCCGACGATCAGCTGTCTGAAAATGCCCAGTTGGTAATGAATGAAGCATTGCGTTATGTGTACTTGCAGTATCGTCCACTAACAGGCGGAGAGTGGCTCACAGCGAAGGACGAAATCGAAGGAGATGGTACGGACAAAAAATTCAACCTCCTGTGCCCAGATTCGCGCGGCGACGGCTGCGCGTTCGATTGGAACTTGAACGACAAATATGAGAAACTATTGAGTGGATATAAAGACGGAAGATACGAAATCCGCTTGAAGACGTACTGTGTCGGTGGTTCGCACCTCGCCGACGAAGCGGTGCACTCTTACGTGAGTGATCAAACACTTGTGTTGACGATCGATACGAAGACCCCACTCATCGGCGCCCTGAGCTACGTCAACTCACAGACTACGCAGCGAGTTGATTTCATGGAACCTATTGACTGCACTGACCAAAAAGTAAGTGTTCAGCGAAGCGATTCCTCGACCGGGACATTCGAGAAGGTCACTGAGGAAGATCTTAAGAACTCAGCGTATCCGTTTGTTTTCCAGTGTATGAACGCCGGAAACATGGGTTACTGGCTACTCAAGTTCCCTTCTAACGCCCGCGGGTATTATAAAGTATCCGTAGGTGCAGTCCACGACATCGCAGGTAATGCGTGCGACGAATTCAGCTTTGTTGCTCCAGTACGCGTTTCTGGCTCGACGGGCAGTTCGACTATTTCGACGCGTCTTGGTTTCTTGCCTTCTCGACGCTCGGAAAGGGTGAGAACTCGAAAGGTGCGCCTCGATACTACCGTTGATATAGCGTCGACTCTGATTTTCTGTTTCATCGCTCTTGTCGCGATTGTCGCGCTCGCGTCGCGAGCGCGAAAGTACGCGAGAGTCGACGTTCGGGACGGCTCTGGCGACGAAAAAGTACATCTCAACAACGCAGTGGACGTCCAACGCTACGGGGCTGCGGTTTAAACTTAACAGGAAACCCTACCGTATTTTTTCCACATTATCATTTACGAGCTTATCTCCATAAACGGGTAACATTTGTAATCAGAAGTTGCGCGTCGTCCTTGCTCCTCGACATTTTATCGCTTTTCTCCACGCGCCCGAACCCGCTGACCTGGCACTTCGTCGAAGCCGCTATCGCTCGACGTGCGCTGCGGGCGACGTCATGTCGCGGGCCGACGCACGCAGACGCGTCGCACGACGTATTCGCGACGGTGTTCACGACTGCGTGTCGCCCAAATCGGCGCCGGCGGCGTCCCGCGCGACGACTGTTGCCGCGAAATTTCAATGGGTGTTCATACTCGTCGTCACGGCGTGCGCGCTCGCGTCCGTGGCGCACGCGCTCGAGGACGGCGGTGAGACGCGCTCGATGGCTCGACGCTTACTTTCGTTTTACTATCAGAGACGTCCGAGTGGAGCGGGAGCCCTGAAGGCGAAACACGGGTTCAGTACCCACGACGGAGTGAAGCGCGGATCCCAGAGCGCGAACTGGGTCGGGGATGAAATCGGGCGTCACGTTTCGTTCACGGCCGGTGGTCCCCTTCCAGAAGCGACGGTGGTAAGCTCTGAAGCCGGTGAAACCTTGGAAGCCGTCGAAATGGAGGACCCCGCTGAGTGTGACGAGGGCAAGGAGTGGTCAAAGGCGAATAACGCGTGCGAAGAGAAGGAAGAAGAGAAGGAAGAGGAAGAGGAAGAAGAGAAGGAAGAAGAGAAGGAAGAGGAAAAAGAAGAGGACGCAGAAATTGGCGAGGGAAAAGCAGAAGAAGATGCCGATGAAGTGGAAGAAGAGGCAGCGGGAGAAGCGGCGCCAGAAGAAGCAGGAGAAGCAGCGCCAGAAGAGGGTCCCGAAGAAGAGAAAGGAGAGGGAGAAGAGAGCGACGCGGAGTAAGAGCTGGGGTGGAGGCAGCTCTCGGAGTCGCGTTGGAATTTTTGTCTGTACAGTATGAGTCATCGTTAAAAGAACCGCTAAATTTTGTTAAAATGAATGCACGACCGTCTACTCGCTGCGAGCAGCGTACGACACGAAGCTTTGTTCCTTGCAATCGATACCAACCATGGCGTCCCCCAAGTCTTGAGACACTTCTGCGATGATCTTCGGGTCGTTGTAATGCGTCACCGCTTGTACAATCGCCCGAGCGCGCTTGGCGGGATCGCCAGATTTGAAAATACCAGAACCCACGAAGACACCATCCATGCCGAGCTGCATCATGAGCGCCGCGTCGGCTGGAGTCGCGACGCCACCAGCGGCGAAGTTCACAACCGGTAAGCGGCCAAGTTTCCTGGTCTGTTGAACGAGCTCGAGCGGAGCGCGGATTTCCTTCGCGTAGACGAAAACCTCGTCCTCGTCCATGGCGCAAAGTCGACGAATGTCGCCCATTACAGCGCGGCAGTGTCGCACCGCCTCGACGACGTTACCAGTGCCGGCTTCCCCCTTGGTGCGGATCATTGACGAGCCCTCTGCGATGCGGCGAAGCGCTTCACCAAGATCGCGGCAGCCGCAGAGCACCGGGACCTTGAACTTGTGCTTGTTCAAGTGGTTGATTTCATCAGCTGGCGTTAAGACCTCGGATTCGTCGATGTAATCAATGCCGATAGCCTCGAGAACTTGCGCCTCGACGAAGTGACCGATGCGAGCCTTCGCCATGACGGGGATCGTCACCGCCTCCTTGATGGCCCGAATCATCGTCGGATCGGACATGCGAGCGACTCCACCGTCCTTACGAATATCCGCGGGCACGCGCTCGAGCGCCATAACGGCGACGGCGCCAGCCTCTTCCGCGATGCGCGCTTGCTCGACGTTAACGACGTCCATGATGACGCCCCCCTTGAGCATCTGCAAGTATCGATCGACGTCGGCGGCATCCCGGGTCAGTCTTCGTTTCGAGATCGCTCCTGCTCCGACGCGTCGACCGCGCGAGCGTCCAGCTCGAGCGCGCGCGTTCGAGGTCAGCTTCCTCTCGGTCTTCACTCGTTCAGAGTTGTTTCGACTCGTGACGTCGTCACGAAACGAATCGCGCCCCCTACGTCGACGACCAACGCTCTACGGGCACGCTCAGGAGCGACGACGGGTGGATGAAATATCTTCATCGAATCACCACCGTGCGACGCTCTATCGAGCGTCGCTCGTGCGCGCGCCTCGTGCGATCGTTCGCGTCGTCGTCGTCGACCTAAAAGGCACGACGAGCGCCGAGCACGGCGTCGAACGTCCTCGACGCCTCGCTCGAGGTTCGTGATCGAGACACGTCGGGCGCGCGCATTAAATATCGTACCTGTGCCAAACCAGCCTTGACGGCGAACGTCGTGCGCTCGGCTTCGGTGGACATCGTTCGAGCGTTCGAGTCGCGGAATGATGAGACGTCGGCGGCGTCACGCAAGGAGCCTCCGGTGGAATTTATGTTTCGCATCTACATGGTCTAAATGGTATGTATAATACGCATCAGCGTGGATTTCAGTGATTTAGTTCGGCACCCCCCCACTTTCGCACTTTGGCCGTTAAAAAACGCACTCGTAAGCCTATATCGTGACGTCATCGTGTTATCTGGCGAGAGCGAGCTCCGCGCGCTGAGCGAGGGGAGCTGGCTCGACCTGAACGAAGAACGCTCTCGGGGTAAACATTCGAATCATGCGTAATCGAGTGAATTCACCACGGGACGCGACAGAATGGGCACTGTCGCGACGCGGGCGTCCGCGACGGCATTCACCATGGTCGCGTCGCCGCCGCGAGCGACAACGACTCCGTTCAATACGTTGCCGACACGCAGCGGCGTTTTCCGATCGCGCCAGGGCTGTAAGATGAGCGTGAATGTCTTCATCGGGTTAACGAAGTAAAGCAAACGCGAACCGGACGGTGACTTCGGGGCGTAACCGTTCTCATCGAGTGGCTTTTGCGTCTTGAAGCCAAACTCAGAGATAAGAAATTTTTCTGCGTCGCGAACGTTTTGTACGTTCAGGGCGACGACCTCGAGGGGGTCTCGCCTCGTCGCCACCTGACCACGAATGGGTATACCCCCGGGCGATCGCATGTCAAAAAAACCAAAACCGTAGAGTAACTCTCCGCCGCTCTCATAAATTTGTGACACGCGCAAGCCAAACGGCACTGTGACCGCCACGTAACTCAACACGTTTCCGACGTCCGACGCGTCGCCTGTCGCTTGTCGTATCTCAACCACTCCCTTCCCACCGTCGTCCGCGGTCAAGCTACTCTGTCCGTAGGCCAAAGTCGCGACGCGCTCCGCTCCGCTCCCGACGTCTCGCGTCACGCGCATCCCCAGCGCCTTGGTCCAAAAGTCAATCTCCGCCTGCACGTCCGTCACCGCAAACGATATCCCACCCAAATAATTCGTTCTCCCGCTCTCGATCATCGGTCGGATCTCTGATAAGAAATCCGCGTTCGCTCGCGTCTTCTCCACCTGCTTGTCGAAAAAGTTCAACTGCCCCTTGAGCACGTCATCCTCCGGGTGCTCTTCGTACGCCAATCGCGCGTCTTCGCGCATGCGCGTGAGCGAGTCCAGCACCTCACCCGCGTCCGCGTCTCTCGCCCCGAGCGTCGCGATCGACGACGCGAACGCGGCGAGCACCACGTCACGACGGCTCCCCCGCCCGTCGCCTCCATCGTTTCCCGACTCGACGCGATCGACCTCGTCGTCGCTCGTCCCGCGGCGACGGATCGTCCATCGCGCGCGCGCGCGCGCCGACGCGCGCCCTCGACGCCCTCCATCCCTCGCCACGGGCGCGCGCGGACGGCGCGACGCGGTGGACGCGCGCATGACGACGGCGCGTCGACGTGTGCGCGCGCGCTCGAGCGTCGCGCCGTCCGCACACCCACGCGCTCGATGCGCGACGCGACGGTGGAGGATGATTTCGTCGACCGCTCGGGCGCGCCGAGCGCGTTCGAGAACGACGGGTACGACGAACCGGACGCGACGAACGACGAGGCGTTAACTTTTCAGTGCGCGCGCGGTGGCGGCGATGGGAGCGCCGCGCTCGTCGCGCGCGCGACGAGAACGACGGCGAGGGAGGGTGATGCGCCGTATAACACGCATCTCTCAGTGAGCGCGGATGGGGCGATGTGCGCGGTGACGACGACGTCGGGGCGGGTGCGAATCATCGCGCGAGACGGCGGGAGCGGAGCGCTCGGCGACGACGCGCGCGAATTCGTTCCGGGCCACGGGTGCGCGGTGAACGAGTGCGAGTTTGGCTCCGCGAGTGATCCGCATGCGATCGTACTCGCGTGCGGTGACGGTACGGTGCGGGTGTACGACGTGCGAACGAAGGACGATAGGGCGACGGCTGTGTTCCGGGCGCCGTACGGCGAACGGGACGTCCCGAGCGCGTCGCTCGGCGGCGACGGAGACACGCTCGTCGCCGCGGCGGCGGGGGCTCATGTCGTATTTTATGATCGACGAACACAAGGAGGAGACGCGTGCGTGGGACTGTTCCAGGATGCGCACTCGGAGGTCGTCACTCGCGTGCGGTTTCATCCGGAGAGGCGAAGCGAGCTGTACACGTCTAGCGTCGACAGTTTGGTGTGCGCGTTTGACTGTTCAAGAGCTCCGTTAAACGATGAAGATGCTCTGATAACAATTATGTCCGCCGACGCCGCGGTGAATAACATCGGCTTCTGTCGAACGGGCGCGAGCGGTAACGAGCGGGACGCCGTATGGTGCACGACGGGGATCGAAGAGGCGCACATTTTTCTTACGACGTCGAGCGACAAGCGTCGCGTCGGTGTGCAGCTCGTGCACTTAAAGAATGCGAGGGCACTCGCGCAAACGGCCGCGCACTCTCAGTCATTCATGGACTTCTCGACGCAGGTGGACTACGTCTTGGGCATCCACGACGGAGTCGATCCAGGGGAGCTTTATCTCTCCGCCGGGACCCAGAGCGGAAGCGTTGGCGTGTTTCCTCTCGTGCAAGGGCCCGAACCGGCCCGAGGCACCGCAGGATACGTCATCCTCGGCCCGCCCGTGGCGGTCCTTCGAAATGGACATCGTGACATTGTGCGTGCGATGAGCTGGGACGGGAATCGACACGCCTCAGAAGCGGCGCGCGTGCCGCTGACGTGCGGTGAAGATTCACTCGTGTGCGCGTGGACGCCAGGCGCTGCAAACGCCGCGGATCCGCCTTCTGTTGACCGCACGCGCCCTCTCGGTCGAAGACACTCGCCTTATTGAGAGTAGCTAGTTGTATTTAGAAGCACGAGGTTGAGTTCGAAAGCGACTTGAGTATTACATCGGCGGAGATGATATTAATTCGCCGTGCGTTCAAAGGAGAGTGGTGAACACACTCACCCTTCCTTCACAGGGATGAATCGCCAGACCACGGCCATCGTACTTCCGAGCACGGCCATCCAAACGACGGAGACAGCCGACGGAACGCGAACGAGGTATTCCGGGAAGTGCAGACTTGCGAGCAAGAAGCCAAATGCGCTCGATTTCATCGCCGTCTCGATGGCGACCGTGCGGCATGTAGTCTCGCCATACTTGAACGCCCTAGCTCCCCAGTATCCCGCCAAACCACCGATGAGGTGGAGCGCGAATGCGGCGATTTGAAGCGTCATGCCCGCGCCCAGGATTCCCGCCGCGCAGTTTGCGACGGCGCCGCCGACAAGGATGATGGTCATGGTCACGCCGACGATCGGAGAGAACGGTTCGACGGATCGGCAGAACTTTGGCACGTACTTGTTCAGCGTCAGCCCGACGACAACAGGAACGAGAACGACTTGAATGGTGGAAATCGCCATGCCCACGGCGTCGACGTCCACGACTGCGCCGAGCGCCAACTTGCAGATGAGAGGCGTCATAAAAATGCATCCGACGGTCGTGGCGGTGGTCATGAGCACGGAAAGCGCGACATCACCTCGTGCGATGTACGCGCACAGATTGCTCGCCTGCCCACCATTGATAGAACCGACGAGGATGAGACCCGCAAGGAGCGGACCGCTCAAACCGAGCGCGTTTCCGATGAAGAACGCAAGCGCCGGCATGATGACGTAGCACATGATGAAGCCCAGACCGATCAACCCGGGCTTTGCAAACACGCGCTTGAAATCATCGATCGTCAGAGTAATCCCCATGGAGAACATCAGAAGTGCCAAGCATCCGGTGTATCCGTTGCTCGTCATGAAGGCAAACGACTCCGGTCGGAGCACGCCGACCACGGCCGCCAAAATGGTCCAGATCGGGAAAAGATTCGCGAAAACCTCGGAGAACTGTTTAAACGTCGCCATGGACACCACCCCGGAGCTCGCCGAGCGCGTCTTCAACGAAGAACCGCGAGAAGAGCGAGTCGCACGACATTTTCGCTCGAACCTAACGCTCGCTCGTCTTTCCTCCTTCAACGTCGTCGTCGACGCCAAATCGTTCGCAACGCGCGCGAACGACGCCGCGTTCGACGCAGCGCGCGCGCATCTCTTGGACGCGCCCCGTCGCGCCGTCACGCGTCCACCACCGACGACGTTCACGCGCGATGACGCGCGCGCGCGCGCGCACGCCATCGCACGCGTCGCGCACGTCGAGGCCCACCGCCGCCGCCGCTTCGAGCGCTGGACGCCACCGCGCGCGAGTCACCGACCGAAGACGACGACGCGCGCGAGCCCGGGCGCGATCGTCCGCCGAGCCCTCGCGCACTGCCGCACCGTCGACGACGGTGGACGCCGAGGGGGTCGATCGCGCGCGTCGGGCGCCCCTCGGGAAAACCCGATCTCGTCGCGCGGATCGGGTTTTTCATTCCCACCGGTCGGTCGCTGCAAAAAACACCCGAAAGTGATCGAATTACGTGGTGTCCCCGACCGGGTCGCGCGATCGATCGTCCATGGCGGTATCACACATGGTGCGCGCGATGGCGCAATACGAGACGACCCGCGCGATCGTCCATGGCGGTATCACACATGGTGCGCGCGATGGCGCAATACGAGACGACCCGCGCGATCGTCCATGGCGGTATCACACATGGTGCGCGCGATGGCGCAATACGAGACGACCCGCGCGATCGTCCATGGCGGTATCACACATGGTGCGCGCGATGGCGCAATACGAGACGACCCGCGCGCGCGCGGTGGTTGGCGCGTCGCGCGCGCGCGTCGACGCGATCGGCGACGACGGACGCGACGTCACGCGCGGACGCCGAGAGAATCGCGCGAACGCACGGAGAGGACGTCTCGAAAGTTCTCGTCCACGGTCGCGCGCGCGTCGAAGAGACGCGCGGGAGAAGCGCGAGACGATGTCGTGCGCGCGCGCGGACGCGCTGTCGGCCCGATCGACGCTCGGTCGGTCGAGACGTGGGATGGATGCGCGAGGACGGGCGTCGGTGCGCGCGCGGGCGGGCGCGCGATCTCGAGCGAACGCGCTGGTGACGACGAGCGAGTACAAGGTCGCGGTGCTCGGCGCCGCGGGCGGAATCGGGCAATCGCTCTCGCTCTTGTTGAAGATGAACCCGCTCATCTCCGACTTGCGCTTGTACGACTTGGCGAACACCCCGGGTGTGGCCGCGGATCTCTCGCACACGAACACCGGATGCAAGGTGACTGGATTCATGGGCGCCGATCAACTCGAGGATGCGCTCAAGGGATGCGACTTGGTCGTCATTCCCGCCGGCGTGCCTCGTAAACCGGGCATGACGCGAGACGACTTGTTCGCCATCAACGCCGGCATCGTGCGCGATTTGTGCCAAGCGTGCACCAAGGCGTGCCCGAACGCGCTCATCAACATCATTTCCAACCCTGTGAACTCCACCGTGCCGATCGCCACGGAGGTGTTCAAGAAGGCTGGTTGCTACGACGCGAGAAAAATCTTCGGCGTCACGACGCTTGACATCGTGCGCTCGAACACGTTCGTGGCCGAGGCGAAGGGTTTGGACATTAACGACGTCGACGTTCCCGTCATCGGTGGTCACGCTGGTATCACTATTTTGCCGCTCTTGAGCCAAACCTATCCGAAGTGCGAGTTCACCTCGGACGAGATCGAAAAGCTCACCGTTCGCATCCAAAACGCGGGCACCGAAGTTGTCGAAGCCAAGGCTGGAGCGGGTTCGGCGACGCTTTCCATGGCTTACGCCGCCGCGCGTATGGCCGAAGCGTGCTTGCGCGGTCTTAGTGGCGAACCGGACGTGTACGAGTGCACCTACGTCGCCTCTAACGTGACTGAGTTACCGTTCTTCGCCACCAAGGTTCGCCTCGGCCCGAACGGCGCGGAAGAAGTTCTCCCGATCGGAGACATCAGCGCCTACGAGGCAGACTGGTTGGCCAAGCTCAAGGTTGAGCTCACCGGTAGCATCGAAAAGGGCATGGCCTTCGTCAACAACTAAATGTGCGTTTCGACTGCAAATCAGGAGACGCCATCCAACGTTCCCGCCGCGAGCCATCGAGCAAGCGGCGTGTCAATTTAGAGCGCGCCCGTTTTATTATCACTATCACTCAGTTTGTCTACAAGTAGTCTATTGTCGACGCGCAGCATCGATACGCACACTCGCCGCGCCTAGTTGTCAAGACCCAACCACTTCAAGTTGCCGACGAGCAACACGTTGGATGGTAACTCACCCGGACACGGACTGAGGTACGTAAACTTTTTCTGAATCATGTCCACCTCTGTGATGTATATGAAACCGGCGACGTTTGAGTTAAGCAAGTCGCCCTGTGTTTTTCCATGACTGACCGCCAAGACGCTGTGCAAAAGCGACGTCGACGGCACCACGGGGGCTATGCGCATGGGATCCGTTGACGCCGTTTGGCCGATTGGAAGCGCGGAAGCCGGAGCCCTCGGGCCGCCACCGATGCGATACAGACTTATTTGTGAAAAGTACGCAGTCTGCGACGCCGGAGCGAGCTCTCCGGTGGGGCCGTAAAAGTACTCCTTAAACATCCGGTCGCGGGTCGCCCGGCGAAATTCTTGCGTGCGTTCGACAACTCCTCCCGACTTTTGCATGCGAAACACCTGGCAATCCGTCCCGGCAAGCTTTTGTTGAAGCTGGCCGTACAAGCGCTCTTGCCCGATGACGAGCACGTGATCGATCTTCAACGCCTCTCTAGCGTGCAAGAGGAGTTCCAAACCCATCCCATCGATCCAGCCCATCGTGTTCACGACGCACCCAGCCGCTCGCGCGTCGTCGTTCGCTTTGCTTCGCTCGTCCAATAAGGCGCCCAGTCTGGTGACAATGTGCTTGTAATACTCCGGATTGTTCACCGTCAGATCTCCGTAAAAGTACACAAGTGGCATCTCGAGCGGAATACCCTCCTCAAGGTCTATCTGCGCGTCCACGGGGGCGGCACAAATCGTCCCTGGCACCGTCAGCGCGCCTTGTCCTAAGTCTAAATCGACGTACAGCGGCGCTTGTCCACTTCGCGCGGCGTAGTTGCACAGGATCGAGCACACCGTGCTCTTACCCACATCTGTCGGTCCCACGCACATCACTCGCGGTCCCTCCTCTGACGAACCCGCCGCCCCCGCCCGCTCGCGCTTGGCGTTGAGCACGGCGTGCGCGTTCGCGTACGACACCATCGGCGTCTCCCCCGCGACGTACGCGATCTCCACCTTCCCGGTGATCTCGATCGTGGCGCCGTGAAACGTGAACACCGCCACCTTTTTCCCACCGCCAATCTTCACGCTCTGCCCCCGAGCGAGCTCGGAACCGAAGATCTCTGCGTGACCACTGACGAGCGCGATCGCGCACCCTTCGCTGCGCAGCGTCTCCACCCTGAGCTCTTCCTCTCTCGCCAGGGCGTGCGAGACGACGTCATCGCGTCCATCGACGCCGGTCGCGTCCATCGAGCCGTCGGCGCGCGTCGTCGATCGCGCGCGCGTCGCGCAGTGGACGACGACGGCGCGACGCAGCGCCGCACAATCCGACGCGGCGTCGCGATCGACCGCGTCGCGCCGTCGTCGATGCTCCCGCGCACGAGCCTGCGGCGAATCCCTCTGGGACACGCCAAAAATGTCGCGGTCACGGAGGTGTGCCTCGGGACGATGACGTGGGGGGTGCAAAACACCGAATCGGAGGCGCACGAGCAACTCGATTACGCGGTGAAGACGCGAGGGGTGAACTTCATCGACACGGCGGAGATGTACCCGGTGCCGAGCTCGGCGCCGGGATGGAAACCGGGACGAACGGAAGAGATCATCGGTAACTGGCTGGAGAAGAACGGACCGGAACTGCGACGAGAGTTGGTGTTGGCGACGAAAGTGAGCGGGTATCAGGCGAAGAGCGAGACGGCGGCGAATCGAACGATCCCGGCGGGAGAGCCGTGCCCGGCGAGATTGGACCGCGAGAGCGTTCTCGCGGCGTGCGAAGCGAGTCTGCGACGATTGAAAACGGATTACATCGATCTGTATCAGGTGCATTGGCCCGATCGGTACCTTCCGATCGGCGCGTTTTCGGGCTCGACGGAGTACGATCAGAGCAAGGAGCGTCCGAACACGGTTCCGATTCGAGAGACCGTCGCCGCGCTCGGAGAGCTCATCAAGGCTGGAAAGATCAAACACTACGGACTATCGAACGAGAGCACGTTTGGGGTGTGCGAGTTCGTGCGAGCCGCCGATGAGCTCGGCGTCCCGCGTCCCGTTTCGATCCAAAACTCGTACTGCTTACTCCACCGCCAGTTCGACACCGAAGTCGCCGAGGCGTGCGCAAAGTCCAACTACAACATCCTTCTCCTTCCGTGGACGCCTCTCGCTGGAGGCGCTTTGACTGGTAAATATCTCGACGGCGCGCGCCCCGAGGGCGCGCGCCTGACGATGTTTCGCGGCTTCCAGCAGCGCTACATCAACCCGAACTCGGTCGAGGCGACGAAGCAGTACAAGAAGATCGCCGATGAGGCGGGAATCAGTCTCACCACCATGGCGCTCAACTGGTGCAAGACGCGACCGTTCGCGACGTCCACCATCATCGGCGCCACGACCATGGAGCAGCTCAAGGAAAACATCGACGCCTTTGAGCCGAGCGTCAAACTCTCCAAGGAGACGCTCAAGGCGATAGACAAGGTGCACCTCAACTGCCGAGATCCGTGCATCGGGTAATCACGCGCTTAGAATTGTTCACGTTTTAATTGTTATTGGTACGTCACATGTTTTCATGTTTTACGCGGTGCACCCGCGCGCGAGGGTCCGACGCGCGACGGTTCCCAGTTTAGCTGGCTCAGGGGGAACTGGAAAAACGGTGACGATTCAGTTCACGTCATTCCCCTCCGCGCGCGTCGATGTCGCCGTCATCGACGACGCGATCGAGCGACGGGGCGTCCACGAGCGAGAGGAAGATCATCGACGACTTGTGTCCACCCGAGCACTTCACGCGCGTGATTCGACGCGCGGGCGTCGACGCGATGCGCGCATTCGCGTGCGCTCGACGCCGAGAGACTGAGCGATGCGCGGTGACGAGCGAGGCCGAGCGTCGCGCACGCGCGACGCGAGGACGTCGAGCGATGCGAATGCGAAGCTTTGGGCGACCGGTGGGACCGACGAGGCGAAGGAAGCGCGCGCGCGTGCGCGCGGCGCGCGCCGTCGGGCGACGGGCGACGCGCGAAGCGGCGGCGGGCGCGCTCGACGTGGCACCGGAGGACATCGTGAGATCGCTATCGATGCCTTTACGTCGTGCCGATGTGGATTCTTTGTTAGTTTTATGTGGCTTGGGTGGTGTAGAGCTACAACCTCGGGAACTGATGCTCGTCATGGAGCGTAACGTCTTCGGCGCGTGCGTGGAGGCGCTGAAAACGTGCGAGCTCGAAACGCTCGCGGAGCAAGTCGACGGTGTAGACGTCGCGGAGGGCGAACCTGGTCACATGAACTTCTCGTGTCGCACGGAGCGATCGCTCGTTCTCGTTTGCGCGCTCGCTCGCGCGCAAAAATTTCCGCCGACAAAGCCCAGAGGCACGCGCGCGGAGGCCGCGGCGGAGCGGGCGGCGATCAAGGCACGAATCACGCGCGTGATGCGCACGGTACGAAGGATTCGATGGAAGATGAAGACTTCTTCGGTGGAAGCGGTCAAATCGACGAGACGGGCGCCGGTCCTCGACGACCGGTCGCCGGCTCGCGGTCAGTCAACGTCAGAGTCCAAGACGCCTCCTCGTTCGCGTGCGCAGAAGAGACCGGCGGCGGCGGCGGCGGCGGGCTCCCGACCGTCCTCTGCATCGAAGCGTATTTGCCGAGATCGCTCGAAACCGCTCGTGCTCAAGTTACGAGAGCCGAAGATTTTCGGTTCTCGGCGACTCGGCGACGTGACCAACTCGGCGACGACGCGTCGCGTGGTCGAGAGCGTGTCCAAGGCAGCCTCGGGTTTACTGCGAAGATCGGTCTTGATGAGCGCCGTGAAGCGCTCGGGCCCGCTCCCGCGAACGTCCGCGGATGATATCTCCCTCGCCGCCTTCCCGAAGCTCCCTCGGTAGTCCGTCGCCTCGCGACAGCTGGCGCGTAAAACCGCGATTGGACAAGATTCCCTCACACGGTGCTCACGCACGTTTTCTACGAGTCGTCCCGTCGTCCCGTTTTCGCGCGCGCGCGCGTCGTCCCGCACTCGCGCGCGCGCGACGCGAGCGCATCCCTCGGTCGCGCCATCGCGCCCGCGCTCGATCGCGCGCCCGTCCCGATCGCGCGCGCGTCCTAATCGCGCCGACGCGCCGTGAACCACGCGCGAGGTCTCCATCGGGAACGGATACGACGCGCGTGCGAGACGGACGTCCCCTCGCCCGAGCGTCGCGGCGGCATGGAGACGCTCGTGGATGACGTGGGGGGGGCGTTACCACCAAAGGGACCGAACGCGGCGGGCGCGAGCGAGGCGAGCGCGGTGCCGGGACACAGGAGCTGGATATCGCGCTCGTGGACCTGGGGCTCAGACTTGGTGAACGCCGCGGCGGGCGCCGTGGGGGACGGGTTGAACTACCTGGCTGGGTACGATGATCTCGAGGTCACGGAGGGTGGAGAGGGCGCGCACGCGGGAGAACACACCGAGGGCGAGGCGGTGGATGAGCGTAAAGCGATGTGGGCGCAGCTGAAGGAGATGATGGGGTCGGATGTCATGAGCGTGTTTTCGTTGCCGACGTTTCTGATGGAACCCGTCTCGACGCTACAAAAAATGGCGGAAATCATGCAGTATCAAAGACTCCTCGACGACGCGAATGAGGAAGAAGACCCGGAGGTGCGATTGGCCAAGGTGACGGCGTTCGCGGTCGCGGTTTACTCCACGATGGAGCGTGCAAAAAAGCCATTCAATCCCATCCTCGGCGAGACTTTCGAGCTGAAGATGGACGACGGAAGCACCTACCTGGCCGAGCAAGTGAGCCATCACCCACCCATCGGTGCCGGTCACGTTAAAACGAAAAATTTTACGTACGACATCACTTCCGCGGTCACGACGAAGTTCATGGGCAATTGGGTTGACGTGTTCCCGGTCGGTCGCACGCGAATCACGCTGCACAAGACGGGTGAGATTTTCAACATTGTCCCACCGAATTCGCGCGTGAACAACTTGATCATCGGCCGTATCTGGATCGACACTTTCGGTCCGATGAAGGTGATGAATCTGACCTCGGGTGCCATCGCGGAGTTGGATTTCAAGGCGTGCGGTATGATGAGTCTTGGCCGTTACGTTGTGAGCGGGGAGATCAAGCGTCCGGACGGAACTCCGGCGTTGAACGTCTCCGGACATTGGAACCGGGACTTGAGCTACTCGATTGTGGACGGGGGTGCATCGGTGAAGCTTTGGGAGGTTGATCCATGGCCGAAACCGGCCAATAAGTACGGGTTTACAACGTACACGATCGGCATGAACGAGATGTCGAGTGCGCCCGACTATGGTTTGTTAGCGTCCGACTCTCGACTGCGTCCGGACCGGGTGGCGCTTGATAAGGGGGAAACGAATGCGACTTCGCTGAAGCATCAGCTCGAGGAACAACAGCGCGCCGAGCGACGTGAGAGAAAAGAAAAGGATGACGTGTGGGCACCGAGATGGTTTAAGAAGGCGGAGGATGCCGAATTGCACGAGCTCGAAGAAGCTGTTGGAACTGATGTGTGGGAGTACAACGGCGAGTACGACGCGAACAAACCGGTGGGGGCACCGAAGAAATTCAGTCCATGGCAGTATCCGAAGGATTAAATCTTAGTCTTTGCTAATTAACATCTGTGTGATCACCTAAACGCTTTGCCAAATTTTTCCATACGTCGTCATCAACCTGAGTAGGCGTGACAGAAATGTGCGGATCAGCAAGCACTGCGGCGATGGGGGGACGCGGGAACTCGTCCTCCGCTTCGCCGTTAAAATCTTCGCGAGATTTTCGCGGCGCGCTCGCGATCTCGTCTCGACCGCTCTCGAGCAACTTTTCGACTTCAGCTTCATCATCGACATCGTCCGCTTCATCTGCGGTTGTGTCAACATCACTTTCAGCTTCCGGACATAACAAGAGATACTGTCTGTCGTCCTCGTCTTCGCCAGCAAAGAAGCGATCGTACACAGTGAACCCATCTAGATCGAATATGTCAGACTCGCTGTGCCTTTCTGATTTGACCAGCGCATCCCAACCCAACTCTTTGTACAGCCGAAAGCGATCGATGTCTTTGAACACAGAAAACGCGATGCCAAGACGCTGCAGCTTTTGGCACGCCACAACCGCTTTCGTCACGCCACTGCCAAGTGACGATTCGTACGCCTCTCTATCAGATTCTAAATCTTCCATGGATTTCACCAAGATACTCTCATCGTTAATAACGAGGGGACCAGCATCAAACCTTCTGTCGTACTCTCGACCGGTGACGCGCTTTGACAACTTCACACACGTCGAGCAAAAGTCTCTTCCTCTCTCACCCCGAACGTGGGCGTGAAACCATCGACCGAATTGTAATACACACTGACAAGAGTCACAGAAACCGCGAGATGTAGGCTCGCCCTCATCTGCGCTCGACGACAGCAACGTTTCCGACGGATGCCACTTCAGCGACTGCGTGTGATACGTAGCGCGCGCGCGACCCGCGGGATTGGTACTTTCTTTAGAAATCTTCAGCTCATCGTATACATCGAAAGGTGTCGTCCGCATATCGGTGTAACCGTGCATTTCCGCCCAGCGCGCAAACTCTTCCTCACCGTCTTCGCATTCGTCCGCGACGTCTTCGTCCCGGTACACCTTGTTTCGCTTTGCGGGGTTTTCATCCACGCCATCTCGCGTCAACGCGACCGCGCGCGAGCCATCGTTCGCGTCCACGCTCTTCGCTCGAACGTGTCGCCGTCGCGCCTCCTCGTGAATCGCTCGTCTCGCATCCACGGAGAGTTGATTTCCGTCGTAATCGGTGCAAATCACGTGCTCTTCGCAGTCGTCGTCGTCGACGAAAGCCCCGACGTGATGCGCCGCCCACTCTAGAAGGACGCGCGGTAGTGTTTTTACGTGCACGTCGTCGTCGACGCACGCGTTCAACATGACGCAACGCGCGACGACGAGCGTGCGTGTGGTGTGTACAGTTACAGCGCGCGACACGATGTCTCCACCGAGCTACCACGGATACTCGAACTCGGACGATTCCTTTCGTGCGAGACCTCTCTGACACGCACGCTCCGTCGTGATCGCCCGAGCGTAATCCTCGTCCGCATCTTCTATTTCTGGTAAAACATCGACGTCGGAGAGCTTCAACACGACGACGCTCGCGTCAGAGTTGAGACGCGACTTTTGAAGCGCAGCCATCGTGAGTTTCTTTCCATCGCCCACGATTTTGGAGAGGTTGACTGTCTCACGCTCTCCGTCCCCACGAAAGTCGCTGTACGCGGCGTCATCATGGAACTCGACCGATTGCACCACCAAGCCAGGGCAAGAGAGATGCTTCGGCACGCAGCACAACTCATCGCGCTCACTCGGTACCCAGCACCTGTCCGTGAGTACAAAGTTGTTCTGGCTCCAAACACCGAACTCCGCGTTCTCTTTCTTCTCGATGAATGACTCATTGCAAGAAAATGCAGGCGCAATCACGCGCCGATGCGTGATCATTCCAATCTTTGCGAGTTTGAAAACTTCCAGTTTGACTCGATACAAAGCCTCGTGGCTATCCTTTCCGCTAATTCTCAATCCCTCGACGGCGACGAAACGACTGTGCGTTTCATTCGTATCTAGCGACGAACGAGACGCATGCGCGTCTGCGGCATAATCCCACCAACCCAACGCTTTCATCTCGAGAGACTTATCCAATCCACCAACGAAGTGCGCCATCATCACGGGCGAATCTCCCAGCCACGCGTTGTGAGCGCCTTGAGTTTTCGGCGACCATCCTGCGCCCGTCCATCCGTCAAGCAACCAAAACGGAGCGATCGCGACAAACTCGTCTGCATCCGTACGATTGCTCAAATTCTTCAGTTTACGATAATGTACCTGAAATCCTTCTGAGTGACCGCGGTTGAACTTGCTCGCAAAACTTTCATCGGACGTGAACTTTGCTGGGAGTAGCTCGAGTGGAACTTCAACACGCTTGATCTGCCAATCCAAATCATGACTGGATGGGAATCCTTGTGATTCTGTCCACTCCTGTCGCTTTTCTGGCTCGATGACGCGCGCGCCTTGTCGCGGATTGATGAAATGTCCAACGACGGCGGAAGCCACGACATCATTGAAAATGTGCTGATCCCACATCGATTCTTTCGCGCCGCCAGCGATTTCGCCGTTCCATTTTCGCAGGGGGGGCTCGGATTCGAGCACCATGAGCATTCGCGCCACGCACTCTCCAAAGATACCTCTCGCGATTCCATTTTCAGCCGCGTTTTGAATGTACATGAAACCGATGTTCAATCCGAGGACGCCCTGAAACTCCCCCTGAGCGAGCACGTGCATGTCGCCGAGCACGTTCTTTAGCGCGGGATACGGATTCACGCGAAATGAAACGTCCGTGTCGACGTACATGACGTTGTAACCAGCCCCCGAGAGCCGCCACATGTACTCCATCCGCGACCACCATAATCTAAATGCGTCGGCGCCGGTATCTCCAGCGACGCCAAACATGCCCAGACGCGGATGCTTTTGTAGATACGACGTCCACGCGCAGTCGATGTCTCGCCCACCCGCGTCAATAAACCCCTCCCTACACGTCTTCTCGCTCTCTGTGTACACTACGAAGTGCTCGATGCCCACCTTTCGCATCGCGCTCACCGCGTTCGCCGTCAGAACGACGCCTCCGGCGTTCGCGTTTAGTAAAATCAACTCCTTCCGATGCGCTCGCATCTTCGCCGCGACGAGCAGGTTATCCCCCTCCTCCAAGTCCATCGCGTTCAACAGACCCGTCTTTCTAATTTTACCCACCGAGACGTATCCGTCGTCCTCGTCCGTCTCCGCGTCCGCCGCCGGCGTCTCGCCCGCCGTCTCGTCCCGCTCCGCCCGCGTCTCTCCCGCCGTCTCCTCCTCGCCCGTCCCCCCCGACCCCGCGTCGATCGCGCGCGCATCGTCTTCGGCGTCCGCCGTGATCTCTCCCCGCGCCTCGGCGTCGCGTCGCGTCGCGCGCGTCGTCGACATTCCCATCGTCATCGTCCTCGTCGTCCTCGTCGTCATCGTCTCGACGCCCGCACCGACGCGCGCGAGCTCGACCCCGCGCGCGACGACGACGACGAGGACGACGACGACGAGCGCGATGACGGCCCCCGCGCGCGTGCGTCGCGGCATCGTTCTCGCGCGCGTCGCTCGATGACGCGTCGTCAGACGACGACGACGACGACGACGACGACGGGCGTGAAGACAACCGCGCGATGCGACGCCGCGCGCGCGGGGGGGGGCGAGACGCGCGGCGTCGGACGCGCGCGCGCGGCGTCGGCGTCGGCGTCGGCGTCGTTCTCGTCGTTCTCGTCGTCATTCTCATCGTCATGGTCGATGCGTCGAGAAAACGGTTGGGGACGACGGCGCGCGCGTCGGCGCGCGCGGGGGTGGGAAAGACGCGCGCGAGGTTTGAGACGTGCGCGTGGTGCGAGCGGTGCGCGATGGAGGCGGAGCTGGAGGCGTCGGACGTCGTGGATGCGAATGGATGGTGCGCGCGATGCGACTGCGACGCGCGCGTCGAACGCGTCGACGCGGGACGTCCGGGAAGGTACGTCGGAAAATCCAGCGCGATGGTGTTGAGAGGCGTGACGACGACGGGGAGAGAGGTGAGCGTGAAGGCGTGGTGCGGAATTCGAGGAGAATTTCGTCAGCATGCGAACGCGCCGCCGGTTGAAGAAACGTGCCCGAGCGAGACGGACGCGTCGATCGGTTCCGTCGATCGATCGAGACGCGTCTTGGCGATCCATGGTTTGATTGAAAAGATGGGATTCGGTCGATATCTAGCCCACACCGAGTTGAAAACGCTCAGGTTTTTCACGCCGAGGGACGAGTACTCGTTCGGCGGGAAGCAAGTCGCGCGCGTCCTCGTCACGGATTGGGCGCGGGGCGTCGTCGCGACGGACATCAACGGCGCCAGAGAAGGGGAGAACAAGATGACGAGGGAGTTATTTCGCCTGGTCTCTCGACTAAAGCGCGAAGACATCGTCGCGATGACGCTGCTTGATTTTCTGCTCGGAAATTACGACAGAAATATTTTCAACATGTTCTTCGACGAGGACGACGCGTCGGTGACGCTGATAGATAACGAGGACATGTTCCGACGGTACGAAACGAACTCGGTGACCATTCCCGGAACGAATCATCACTGGCACTTCGTCGAGGGATACGTCATCAAGGAAAAGGAAAAAAACGTACCCAGCGAGGAAAAGTGTCGAGCGAAATCAGCCAACGAAACGAAACCGGCGTGCATCGTGGAGCTTCAAAACGGGAACTGGCCGCTGACGATCGGAGCTATCCTTGACTACAGATGTTGGGTCAAAGGAGGCGCTGTGCACCGTGAGTATCCCTCCCAGTTCAGATCTTTCGTGCGGGATGTCATCGAGTCATCGACGGAAGAATTGGTTGAAAAGCATGGCCTCGTCGAGGACGACGTCATCTTCCTGAAGGAGCGCGCCAACCTATTGGATCGTTACGGCTTCGAGGGCGCACTTAAAATTGTTTTGCTCCAATCGCATCGGCAGCACGATATTCGTGCGCCGTGCTGTGATCCCCTGCGGTGCCCGTGGCCCGCGGATGAGTCGCTCGACGCCGACGAGGAGATTAACGCTCGACGAACCGAGATCGCGCACACGGGGCCGTACGTTCGAAATCATAACGAATTGAGCCGGATCGCACAGAGTTTTATCGGACCGAATGATGCGAGAAGCGTCTCAGCATTTCTGAAGATTATAGATAGAGATAATGAAGCCGACGACGATCGCAGTGGTAAAGTCGTGGATGGTCTGGGGGAGATGCGCGGGCCGACTGTCGAGTCGGTGGAGCATCACGATACTCCGCTGTTGGTGTCATCGAGCGATAATAGTTTCGAGTGGAGGCAAATCGAACGTGTCAGTGCGTCGGCATTGACGAGCGACGCTTTCGTACGCGAATACGTCCAGAAAGGCGTGCCCGTGGTGATCGAACACGCTGACCTCGCCGCTGCGTTGCGTGGTGCGGTGACGCGAGAGGTTATTTTGGACTTGTGCGGGGACTCGGACCCTGATTTAGGGTCGAAAATCGTGCGCCCGATTCGCGCGATGGCAAAATCAATGAGAGCAACGCATCCGAGATTGTTGCAAGATCTTTCCGAGCGCCTCAAATCGACACGAGGTTTGTCTCTCGATGATACGCTCAACGTTCTCGAAGGCGAGGGTGAGATCAAAACGCTACGAGACTTTTTCAATAGTGAGTTCATGGGTAACGCAAGCGCGAGGACTCACAAGGTAGACTTTTTACACCCAGCCGATAACTTGTGGCCTCCGAGCGTGCACTCATGGCACATTCCTGAACGATGTCCAGCGCTCGCCGAACACGTGAGAAAGACAGTTGAACAGAGACTTCGCGGCGACTGGTCGTATGTGTCCGAGATACTGCACGGAGAGAATCCCACAGAATTTCAAAAGTTTATGCTCTTCGCTAGCGGCGACGGCGTTCGAGCGTATCACGCGCATCACCACAATAAAGCCGCGCATGTAATGGTCTTGGTGCTTCAGGGAGTGAAGCGGGCGGTTGTTTGGGATCGAGCTGACGATGACAATTTGTACCCGCTCGAGGCGCGCACCGGCCGGATGTACAATCCAATCTATATGGCGAATGCCTTCAACGTCGACTTGAACAAACAACCGAAAATCGCGCAATCGCACGGCTTCGGTGCAATCGTCAAGGCGGGAGATATTCTATTCATGCCGTGCGGTTGGATCCACTCCTTTGAAAATGTTGGCGAAACAATCCAGCTCGTGTGGTCGCCGACGATCAAGTATCACAAGGGCGAGCAATCCATCGTTCCAATTTTGGAAGATGGCGAGGCAAAGTATTGTCCCAATGAGAACGGCCGCGAAGGGTACAGGAGAAACTACAAGGCATCAGCGGAGTAAATGAACGAAGACGCGCGCGCTTGTGCGCGCAAGCTAGGGTCTAGAAATGTACTAACGTTAGTAAGTTGTCCATGGTACCATGGTACTTCTACACGCAATCTACATGCAACGTTCGACCGCAAGTTTGTACGGCAAATATTGCCCCTCATATTCGATGTGCTCGGGCAAGTCTCTCGCCGCCGCTTTAATCCGACCTTTCGCAGAGTTACTACGACGCCACGCGCACGCGAAAGACAAAAAACATCAACGTTTTGTACAAGTAGAGACACTTCGAGTAAGTTCGCTCCGCCGACACGTCGGCGACGAACTGCACATTCAGTGGGTCGCGCAAATCAGCCGCCGCACGCGCTGAAACAACCACTTCACGAGCGAGCGAACGCATGGCTCGCCCATCGGCTTGTAACGTTTTCTCTCCCGCGGCGAGACGCTTCAGCACTCGTCCGGATAAATCTTTCGTTAGCCGACGCCGCCGCCTATCTTTGCCCGTCTCGAGCGCTTCATCGGACTCGTCCTTTGGTTCAGAGTCCTTCAACCACAGCGCAAGAGATGAAGCGATCATGCCGTCATTATCAGCGACCAACGAAGCCTCGATGGCGTTGGCGCTTTTCCGAAGCGCGTCTGCAACTTTCGCGTACTCAGAACTCCTTTGCGCGTCGCCACCAAGTTCTGGTCTCACGGCGACGGTGTAGTCCACTAGACCCGCCACGTTCGGCGCCGCGTCGCCCTCGAGAGTGTATCCATGCACTTCCGCGGCTTCGACTAAAGCCTTCGCCGCTAATTGAACCGACGTTGCTTTGCTGTTGCCGCTCCGCTTACCCCGTGTGCTAAACGTGACGGCTATGACGCCTCCGTCGGCGATGGCGTGCCTAGAGAAGACGTCAAAAATCTGCTGTGTTCTATTATCTACCGCACCACAATGATCGAGGTAAATCAATTGAAGCTGCGTCGCTCTGGGATCCCGAGCCGCGAGAAACGCCTCGACTTTGGTCGCCACGGCGTTCACTCCTACGCGTTTGCGCAGAGCGTGCACCACGTGCGTGTAGAGATTTGGCACCCAAATGGACGTCTTCGGTATGCCAACCGACATGAGCTCCTTGCTCGTTCTACCGTCAGCAGCATCCAAGACGAGCGCCATGGAAGTCTCAGGCGTAATCCCACTCGCATCACACGACGCGGCTAAGGCATCCGCCACTGCCGCGTTGGTCAATCGCTTGTGTTCCGAGGTCAAATTTAATCCCGCCGGGTCTTCGTACGGATCAAACGCCCAACGACATAAGAAGGTTCCTTTCGTCTGAGCTTTCAGATATTCTTCCTCTACGAAACACATCTCCTTTAGCATTCTCTGCGGACCTCTGCGTCGCTCCAACAGGTTTACTGTGACAGAAGAGAGGACGAGCGTCGCGCACAACAGCGAATCCAACACGGTGTTTGTCGATACGTTGATGATCGAAAATGCCTTGAGCGCCAACGCGACTGCGAGCGCGCGTCTAGGCGCCTCCACTGCGGCCGTAGCGAACTGTGCGCACACCTCGGATGCGAACGTGCGCGCCGCTTTTATTCGCGCAAATCGTCGATGGACGCGGCGAGAGTTCATCGCCTTGCGCACGAGTTCATCTCGAACCTTCGCGCTGGGGTTCTTAGAAGAGTATGGACTGAGAGTGTAAGGCAAAAACGGTGCCAGTAGTCTGAGCTGAAACGAACACCAACACTCGTACACGAACGTCGCCGCCGCCGCGCCCGCCGGAGCCACGATGAGCGTCAGAATCGTTCCATCGGCGATTGCTTCGAAGAAGTTTGGCCACGTAGGCGAGATAAGAACGCGTACCAACGCTTGAGCGAGGCCCAAGACACCGAACCACAGCGCGCCGAATCTCGACGACTTCCCAACGACGCTCCGCCACACCTCTCCCTCTCGATAGAACAACGGCTCCGCCCGTTCATCGAACGTGTCGAGCGCTTCACCCAGCTTTGGATACGACGATTCACTCGCCGTGACGAATCCCCACGCGTCCGACGACGACGCACCCATCGTCGCGCGTCGCGCCCACCCGACCTCGCTCGGACGACGCACCGCCGGTGATGTCTCCACCATTCGTCGCCCGCTCGACGACGCGCGCGACGGGCGCTCCCATCGCTCGCCCCTCCCTCCGCGCGCGATCGCTCTCGACGCGCGCGCGCCGCCCGTCGTCCTCGTCGTCGTCGTCGGCATTCGCACCGACGCGCGGTGAGGGGAACCGACGTCGCGCGCGATGGCCGACCGACCGCGTCGTCCAGGGTGTGGATTTTTTGATTTTTTTTGGATTTTTCGTTTTCTTCTCGCGCGCGCGCTCGGGGCGTCCGCCGCGACGTCCGCGCGAGAGATACCGCGCGCGCGCGTTCGCGTCGTCGTGACCATCGGTCGCGTACGTCGCGCGCGCGAGGACGACGTCGCGCGCGCGCGATGTTCGGCCGCGCCGTCGGCGCGCGTGGGGTCGACGGGACGTCGGCGGGGACGATTCCACGGCTGCGACGCCGAGGGCTGGGCTCGACGCCATCGCTGGCGTTGAAGGCGCCGCGTTGCTCGGGCGTGACGCGCGATGGGGCGCGCGGAGAAGTCACCGCGGGAGCGCGCTGTGACCACCGCGCGCGCGCGAGTTCGAGCGAAAGGGCGTCGACGAGCGCGAGGAGGACGCGTCGAGGGACGACGTTGAGCGCGCGCGCGCTCGTCGGCTTGGAAGTGGCAGACTTACGGGCAGCCATCTTGGATGGACACAGCGCGTGGTGGGCCGTGGCCTCGCCGCTGTTTGCGCTGAGCGTGGTTCCTTATTTAGTTTTCTTAAAGCGTCTCAACGAGGCGAAGAGCGCGACGTTGGAGATGCGCCAGGCGTTCGCCACGCTTTTACTATTCGTCATCATTTCCATCCCCGCCGAGGCGTACACGAAACGAGCGTATGGTGAGGTGCTGAGCAACATCGACGCCCTGCATTTTCTGATTCAGAGCGCCATCAGTTTGACCAATCTTAGGATTTTACTGGCGTTCCGGGATGGTAAAAGCAACACTGACGGGAGCGCAAGTTCTAATATGTTTCAATCTAATTTGACGGATTTCGGAACGATAGGCAGACCGGGAGCTATTGTTGAGGCCTTTGCAGGTTTAGGTTTACTCGCAACGTCTCTTTTGCTATCGCTCGATGAGCGCTTGTTGGTGGTCCCGGACACCGCTCCGACGATGTTGACGAGCGTTGTGGACAGTTTCAGGACGTGGGGCAACAATTTCGAATCAACGACAAATTCGATGCTAGGTCTACCGTATCCTATGGAGCACGCGCTGAGCGTACCCACGTGGGGTGTTCACATCTTCAGCCTCGTCGAGTGGCTACTCGCGATGGGCCTGGTTTGGAACTACGCGGATTGCGAACGTGGCAACAATAACGGCTGGCGAACGCTTACGTGGGGAATGCTGCCGTTGCACGCTAGTGGGATCTGCGCGTGCACGCAGCATTTTTTCGGAAACGTTGCGAGCTTAGATTGGCTCGTCGCAGCGCAAGGCGCGTTCACGATGCTTGGGAATGTCGGGATGTGCGTTGCTGCGGGCGAGTTGGCGAAGGAGGATTCAACGTCTGGTGTTAGGGACACCGCCGTGAATGACGAACAGCGACGAACAACGGAGCAATGCGTTGTTTTCGATGATTTGGATCCGTCTTGGTGGGATTTCGACGTCGAGAATTTCGGTACGAAGCTCTGGGCCGGAGACAGTGATGGAGTGTTCATCACAAAAGTCGCGCTACTCTCATTGGCGGTCGCGAGCGGCGTTCGTGGGTTAAGCCTATCGCTCGCGCCGGAGTTCGACCCGGTGGATGGCGCATGGCGTGATTACACAAACATCCTTTCCTTCTTAATGGTCGCAACGCCCCTCGCGCTGAATATCGAGAAATGGAAGGCGCGTGAGCGCGTTGCGTTTGCGCGCGAAGCGTTGAATGCCACGATGGCTGACGTTGACGACGTGAGCGATACGATTGTTGATCGCTCTGCGGTGAAAACGGAGTCTGTTTGAACGCTTACTGAGAGCGCTCGAGGAGATTATGGATACCCGGCAACCTTGTAGTGTAAGTGCGACAACCGTTATGAATTTGGTCTACACGCGTCAAAAAAGGTGCCACCTAGCGAATCGAACCACACGAGGTTTCATTTAGAACCGTGCGAACTTTGTGAGACGTGAACAGAGTGCGTTCTCCCGAAGCAGACGGGCATCACGCCAAGGCATTTGTTCTTCTTATGAATGTCGAACAGCGATGCGTTCGATGTTAATCAAAGCGCGACGACGTGCAGGACGGCGCGAACTCGCGAGGCTCATCTTCGTATCGTTTTCTTCCTGGCTCCTTTTCCGCTTTAGCCTATGGTTCAGTGCGGTACGTGATGACTTGCCGAGTGACATAAATCGACAGGCTACCGTTTTGGGACCATGCATCGGGCCCGACGTCACTCACACTCACACTCACGCGGTCACCAACTGGATAAATCAAGACGAGATTCAATTTGCCACGTTCGCGTTTACTAGAAACGCGGGCGACAGATGGGACACACGTAGCACACGGACGGCTCTACGGTTCATGTACTCTTCTCTGGTGCGATCGCAGTCGACGATTCCGCGTTTGCACGTATACACGGACGCGCCAGATGTGGTGCCCGAGGAGACCACATTTGGCGCAAAGACTCAAATCGTCGTGCATGCATGCCACGCACACTCGTTTCCCGAGAATCCGTACAGTAAAATCGGTAAATGGGCCGCTGTTTCACGAGCCAAACTTGACGCTGTCGAAGACTTACTGTTACAACACGGTGGGAGGATCGTTTGGATAGACCTAGACACTCTCGTGTTCGTCGACTTGACAAAAACGTTTCGGCAAAGTCCTTCCTGGGTCGTGGGGTATCAGCGGGGGGTAAAATGTCAGGATTTGAAAGATTGCATACTGCTCGCGAGCTCGTGGGTGCGTCCAGAATTTGACACTCTTGGTGATCTCTGGTCGCTCGACCTTCAAACAATCACAAAGGTGAGGGATTTTGAAAAGAGGAGGATCACTTCGAGTAGACGGAGACCACCAAAGTATGATCTGCAGACGTACTTTGGATTAATGCTAGAGGAAAATACATTACCGCATAGCGGATTGCTGCACCGAATTCTTCACGAGTACAATTTTGGCTTCTTCTGCTCGGGTTTCAGGCACCCAACGTCGCAGACTCTTAGACTGTCTGTCGACAAAAGGCACCTAGTTTGCCCCCTCAAAGCAGGTGTTGGCATGGGTCAACGCGTTGGCACGATCTCTTTTACCGCAAAGACATTCAAATTAATGTTATTGAACGAGGCACGCACGCAGTTTGACGCTGTGATAGATAGTAATGCGCGTGAGTGGTTGGTTACGTGGTTTTATGGTGACCCATGAACTCTTAGAATGGCGTCTGTTTGAACGCATAGTTTTTAGAATTTGTAGCCGCGGCGTGATGGGATGTAAAATAGTTTATAGCTCATGTGCTTCCAGTGACTTCACGCTCAGAGATCTTTTAAATTTCATCCTCACTAAAATCGACGTCATCCAACGGCGGATAGTCCCCGCAAGAGACATTCTTAGGGCGCTGTAGCGAACCGTACCCATCGTCGCACTCGAAAAGCTTCACCCCCTTAACCGTGCCGTTATTCATACCCATGGGCTCATCGAGTTGGATGCCGACCCAATACCCTTTCGGCAAGGCTTCGCACCTACCCACAAAACGCACCACACCACGTTTTTGCCCCGGATTCACCTCGCACCGCGCACCGACCGCCATGTTCGCCGCCTCGTCCGCCCCCGTCTCGTCGTTTGCTTCCTCAGGAGCGACGTAAGTACCGCCTCTAAGTTCGGTCATGTGCTTTTCGAGCGTCCACGTCGAGTCTCTCTCTAACTGCTCTCGCATCCACTTTCTGTACGTTCCCTCTCTTTTGTCGTAATCTTCGTCCGAAATCTCATACTTTTTAACCTTACTCACGTCTTCGAGCCAACCATTCGCTGAAATCGAGCTCGGATCGCTGTCCACGACGTGCAACTCCATGCCGTCCTGCGCTCCGTAATATCCCAACTTTTTCGTCTCATCGTTCAACACGGCGAGCACGGTCCCGTCGACGTCTCGCAGCACGAGCGTCATGGACGACGGGTTGCTTCCGCAGTGCGACACGAGCTTGTCCTTGACGCTCCCGATCGTCGCGTGCGCGTCGAAGCGAATCTCCAAAAAACTCGCCCTGAGATTACTGTGCGAGACGCGCAACCGAAGCGTCGTCGACGCTCTTCTCTGCGACCCAGTGTCCGCGGTGACGTACGCACGAAGCGCCGCGAGGTCGGCGCTCATCTCGATCGAGGTCCCCTGTCGCGCGCGCGGTGGAGCGCGGCGTCGTCGCGTCCTCGTCCGCGCCAGCTGTCGCTGTTGACTTTTTTTCAACCATTCAACCATCCAACCATCCACCCTCCACCGCGTTGGACCATTGTTGAGTCGGGAATCGTGAAAGAGCCTGTGCACGACCGCCGAGGAGCCGGTCCGTGACGACGCCGCAGTCGCGTGCGCGCGGTCGTCGCGTCGCGATGCCGCCGCGAGCGATCAAGACGACGCGGTCCGCGTCGAACGATGGGTCGTCGAAATCTCCGCGATCACCCGCGATCACGCCGAGAACGGCGCGGGCGAACCGAGTGAAGAGTCGCGAGGCGAGAAAAGCGCCGCCGCCGCCGAAAGAGGAGAGCGAGAGCGAGGGCGAGGGCGAGAGCGAGAGCGAGAGCGAGAGCGAGAGCGAGCGCGGGAGCGAGAGCGAGAGCGAGGAAGATGTCGAAGGAGGGAGCGACGACGAGGGGTCCGAGTCAGAAAGCGAAGAGGAGGAGGCGCAAGCCGTGAAGGCGCGGCGTACCGGTGGATTCACCGACGAGAACGCGAAATGGTTGAAACCGAGCTCGAAGAAGCGTGCGGAGGAAGAGAGCGACGACGATGACTCTGAAAACGGCACCGAAGATGATTCCGATGATAGTGAACAAAGCGAGGACGATGAGGATCGATCGGAGGACGACGACGAATTTGCGGGGTTGGACGGGAACGACTCCGAAGACGACGGAGACATGGAGCAGGACGATTCGGAGGACGATTCGGAGGACGATTCGGAGTCATCAAGCGAAGATGAATTGCTTCCAATCGAGCGCAAGGCGCTTAAGGAAGATGCGCGACGGGTGAAGGAGAAGGAGGATGCGCGAGCGGAACAACTTGAAACGAACATTCAGGACGACGACACATACCACCTTCCCGACGAGGACGATGACGACAGTGTTCCCGATTTGAGTGCGATTCAGATGCGCATTCAAGAGATTGTCCGGGTTCTGAAGGATTTTAAGAATCGACGAGAGACTGGAAAGAGTCGCAACGATTATGTTGAGCGTCTCGTCGCCGACTTGGCGACGTACTACGGCTACAATAGCTTCCTGATTCGATACTTTTTGGACACGTTTAGCGTCGAGGAAACGATGGAACTTTTAGAGGCAAATGAACAGCAGCGTCCGGTGACGATAAGGACGAACACCCTCAAGGTAAGACGCCGTGAGCTCGCGGAGAGCTTGATTAATCGTGGCGTAAACCTCGACCCTGTGGGCAAATGGAGTAAAGTTGGTCTGATCGTCTATGATTCTCGAGTGCCGATCGGGGCAACGCCCGAATATATGGCTGGACAGTATATCTTGCAGTCGGCGTCCTCGTTTCTGCCGTGCATGGCGCTTGCACCCCAGGAGGGTGAACGTGTGCTCGATATGGCAGCCGCACCGGGCGGCAAGACGACATACCTGGCCGCGCTGATGCGAAACACTGGGATGATTTTTGCAAACGAGTACCAGAAGAAACGTTTGACGTCTCTCGTTGCCAACTTGCAGCGCCTGGGTTGCACAAATGCTATCGTCTGCAACTACGACGGCCGCGCACTTCCCAAGGTGATCGGTCACGTTGACCGCGTGTTGCTCGATGCGCCGTGCTCAGGCACGGGTGTTATCGCAAAGGATAGTTCTGTGAAGACTGGCAAGAGTGCCGAAGACATTGCGAAGTGCGCACATCTTCAAAAGGAACTCCTTGTTGCTGCCATTGATTGCTGTGATGCCAATAGCAAGACTGGTGGCTACGTCGTCTACTCCACGTGCTCCATAGCTGTGGAGGAAAATGAAGCCGTCGTTGATTATATTTTGCGCAAACGCGACGTCAAAATCGTTTCTTCTGGACTTGAGTTCGGGAGAAAGGGCTTCACGAGCTATCGTGGAAAGAATTTCCATCCTTCAGTCGAGCATGCTCGCCGATTTTACCCGCACGTGCACAACATGGATGGTTTCTTTGTGTGCAAGCTCAAAAAGCTGAGCAACAGAACCGTTCCGACGAGCAACGACACTTTCGATGAAAAGCGCGCCGCACTCGAGAGTGGGTATTTCGGTGGAGCTCACGATGGCGATGCGCGAGTAGACGACGCCAATGCGGACGTGGCGTCTGAGAAGGACCAAGCAATCGAAGCGAAGAAGCGAAAGCGCGTCCCGGGATACGTCAAGGCTGCGCTCGCCGAGGTTGGAGCCGGTTCGGCAAAGAAGACAAAGACGGCGGTTTCAAGTCGTTCATTGCCACCGGACAAGAAGAACGCAAAGAAGGATAAAAAGTCCAAGGGAAAGAAGTGAAGCCTTGCTCACGATCGAACCGTATAGATTTGTAGGATAAACATTCAAGACTTACCCGAGACGAGAAGAAGCTGCCAGAAATGCCATTTCAAGACAAACCTGGAATATTCCGCGTCAGTTTTTGCTCGCTGATCATGGGTCTCGGTTCGGCGCTCTCCCAAATTTTCGCGTGGTCTCCCGTAGTGTTTTACGAGCGCGTGTTTGCGACGACGGAGGAGTTCACTCGCATGCTCGGATGGCGCTACGTCCTGAACGTCTATCGCGTCGTGTGTGCGATCACATCCGTCGCCGGCTTCGTGAAACCAAAGTACTCGCTCCATAGAATGGTCTCCGTCGTCCAGCTCATCGCCGTCGCGCTCACGCTAGTGTCCCTGAGGCACGCACTGTACGTGTACTCGGTCGCCCTCCAGACATTCGCGCTCGGGGTGGCGACGTTCTCGAACAACTTGCAGATCGCGCCGCAATGCCTTTTTTGCGTTCTCACGAACGCATTAGCGCACATGGCGTGGACGACGATGAAGTTCAAGTGGCCGATGAATGCGATGACGCAGTACGAATGGCAGATGCGAGGACTTTATACGGGTTGCTTCATCGGTGCCGTGGAGTTGTGGCAACGCGCGAAGTTGTGGTATGCCGAGCTCATGTCGCAGCAGGACACGGCAGAGCGCGAGAATGCACGGTTGGTGGCAGAAAAGAAGGATGAATAAACGTATACGGTAAGATTAAGTGATAGAGGTGTGATACAAATGTCAATGGTAATAGCGGTCCTGTAAGTGTCAAAGGTGTGCGACGACGTATCGCGAATTATGAACTGCTTGCCTCCTACTCGAGCGAGGACTGCGACTGCGAACGCTTGATGGAGGCGTCTTGGGCCAAGCCGCGGAGGAAGGTCTCGTTACGCTTGCTGCCACTTTGGGCCACGAGAGCTGAGAACTTGCCACCCTTATTCTGCAACAAATCTTGAGGTTCACCGTACTCCACGAGTTCGCCTTTGTCAAGGAAGGCCACCTTGTCGCTGTCCATAATGGTGTTCAAGCGGTGCGCGATGGTGAGCGTCGTGCACTGGCTGAATGCCTCGCGAACCGTCTTTTGAATCAACGCGTCGCTATCCATGTCGACCGATGCTGTCGCTTCGTCCATCATGAGCACGCGACTTTGACGCAGCAAGGCGCGAGCCATGCAAAGAAGCTGTCGCTGACCGAGCGAAAAGTTTGCGCCATTATCAATGACCTCCATGTCCAGGCGCTTCACCGCCTTCTCAACCATCGCTCGCAGTCCAACCTTTGTTAAAACCTCCCACACCGCGTCGTCTTTATGTTCTTCGAATGGATCAAGGTTACTACGGATAGACCCGGCGAACATGAAGGGATCTTGCGGAATCATCGCCATCTTTGAGCGCAAATCGTGCAATCCGAGCGTTCTGATGTCAACGCCATCCAACCGCACGGTGCCTGAAGATGGCTCTACGATACGGAAGAGCGCAACGAACATAGATGATTTACCGCTGCCAGTGCGACCGCAGATGCCGACCTTGTCGCCGGCGTTGACGGCAAAGGTTAAATTTTTGAGTACGAGCGGCAACTCGGGGCGATAACGCATGCTGAGATTATCTATCTCCAGCTTTCCCTTCTTCGGCCAGTCAACTGGAAGTCCGAGAGCCACACTGGGCTCCGTGACGTGCGAGCTTTCTAATTCTTTATCCAAATACTGCACGACACGCTCTACCGCGTTCATTTTCGTCTCCAATTCGCTCGCCATGTTGGTGCCGTGTTCCATGTATTTGGTGACGTCCAGAGCGTACACCAGCGTCAAGCCAGCCAAGCCGGCGCTCACGTTTCCTTGGATCACCAAGAACGTGGCACATGACACGATAACAGCTCCGATAAGACGCAATCGAATCGCTAACCATAACGCCGCAAGTCTTTGCGTCACGAAAGCGTCCGCATTCTTCTCCATTGCTTTGTAGGCCATCGCGGTGAAGTGCGATCCCACGCGGAAAGTACGAATGGTTTCGACTCCGTTCACTGCTTCACCCAGACCGCTATAAATAGGCGAACGAGTGACAGATTCGATGCGCTGTAGTTCACGACAGGCGGGAATATAAAACCTTTGAATCATGACGTAAATGAAGATGATAGGTAAAAGGGCAACAGTGAACCACTTGGTCGCCACGCAAACTATCACAAGCGTGGTGATGATGTTTGAGATGCATCCCATGAATTGCACGACGATACCAGGTAAGACAATATCGATCGTTTCGACATCTCGGCTGAAGCGATTGATGATGCGACCACTGGGTGTAGTGTCGAAGAAACTCATCGGCATCTTCAGCACTCGTGAAAGCAAGTTTTCGTGCATCCATCTGCAAGCTCGGCACAGAAAAAAGTAAAGCGTCAGGCTTCTCACGAAGACGAAAACGCCGTTAAGGACGAAAATTCCGAAGTAAACCGCGAGGTATTCGTTGCTCGAAAATCCAAACTCATTCTTCGCCCACCAAGTCAACCAGTAATCGAGTAATGCCTTAGAGCCATACTCGCAACCGAAGAAGAACACGACGAAAATGAAATTCCACTTTGTGCCGGTGGCCTCAAAGAGCTTCATATAAACACGAGTACCAACGTTACCTATCGCGCGCTCTTCCTCTTTCATGGTATCATTATTCTTGGAGAAGGGTACCATTGTTTTCGACATGTCTCCTGCGAGAGGTTTCTCTTTTGTCTTTGATTTTGATTCTTCTCTCTCATCTTCAGCGTGAATGCCGTGCGTCTGCATGAGATCGTAGAAAGTTCCTCTTTTCGCCATGAGTGAGGCGTAGTTGCCACTCTCTTGCATTGAGCCATCCTTCAAAACAACCACCTGATCCGCTTTCGGCAAGTACTGTAGCGCATTCGTGATGAGAATGATCGTCTTTTGCTTCAGAACACCCGTGATGACTTCCTTGAAGAGAGCCGCACCAACATGGTTGTCCACAGCGCTCAGCGGATCATCAAAAATGTAAACATCGCTGTCCGCGTAAATCGCACGTGCGATCGAAACGCGTTGCTTTTGACCACCAGAAAGAGTCACGCCTCGTTCGCCGATGATCGTTTGGTCGCCAGCCGGTAAGATGTCCAGGTCTTCCACGAGTTGTGCCAGGCGAATCGTTCTTTCGTATTCGACGGCGTCGTAAGGCTTGCCGAAGAGAATGTTATCCTTCACTGTTGCGTTTAATATCCAAGATTGTTGCGCACATAACGACACAGAGCCGCTCACCTTGATGTCACCACTCTTGCACGGGATGAATTGCGTCAAGGCGGATACGAGCGTCGATTTGCCACATCCAACCGGACCGACAACCATGGTGAGACTTCCAGGTTTTGATTCGAAATCCACTCCTGAGAGCTCAAACGGTTGCTGTTCCGCAAGTGTCACGTCTACGACACTTTCATCCACGACTGAGACTTCCTCTTTTTTCGGCTCCTTGTCTGCTGCCGCCATCTTGCCTCGACTCGGGGGTCCCTTGGGGGTTAGCTCCTCTTGAGCCTTCGGAAGCGTCGGCCATCCGAACGTCGCGTTTGAGCAACGAACCACACCGACTTCGGAATGGTCCAACTCGTAATCCAACGACTCATCCGCGTCCAAGAAAGACGCTAAACGTTGAATGGCGTTGAGCGCGTTGAGCAGCGTGTTGAGTAAAAACGGCACCAACACCAGTGGAAATCGCAACATGTTGAACAACGCCAAAGCGGTGTACGCCTTACTGGTGACGATCGGGTTGCCTGCGAGAGAGTAAGAGCCCAGAGAACAAACGGCGATGAAAACGGGCGTGCTGAAAAGAGCAACGCCGAAGAGCGCGCCAACTTTTTGTGACTTCCAAACGAGCGCAACCTCGCGATTTCGGATTGCACGCACTCGTTGCGCAAACGCGTGCTCCCATGCGTAATACTTGATGACTCTCATTCCATTGATAACTTCACTCAAGATGTTAATGCGTTCATCTGCACACTTCGTCAGGCCGCGTCTTATCTTGAACAGCGTCATAGCGACAATAAATGTGAACGGAGCCGCTACGATGATGCACGCAAAGCCGATGAAAGCGCTCCATTGAATCACGTCGTATAGCAAAACGAAAGAAGCACATATGAATATCGGCGCTGCCCACAGGTTGTGAATCATGGCGAACAATTCTTGCAGTTTGTTGACATCGTTGGACATCAACGTCACGATGCGACCGGTGGACTCCGCTTGCAGACCCTTCGGAGAGAGACGAAGGACCTTGCGATATAACGCGCACATCAAGCTGTTACGAACCGATATTCCCACTTTCTGGAGTCCGAATTCTTGATGCGCTGCGCAGAAATTCTGCAAAATCGAAGCAACAGCCAAAAGAATTGCGAACTCATACATTTTGCTCCGCGATGTGCACCCGGCTTGTTCACCGCTGACGCCTAGCTTGGTCGCCATCGCTTCGCACTCAATGCCACCAACGATCTCTCGCAGTAACAGAGGTCCCGCAAACAAGGATGCTTGCGCAATTCCGAACAAAATTCCAGTCCAGACGAACGTAAATTTGTGACGTTCGAGAAGCGCTCTGACCAAGTTTGGCTTGGGCTTGAGTTTTTCCTTGGCCCAATCTTCTTCGAAGTTGCTCGTGAGCTGCGCCAGTCAGTTGAATCGCGTTCGTCAGTCATCGCGCACTCTATGATTAAAACGTCTCGTGATTTACGTCGACGCGCGGAATCGCACGTTCGCTCGCCAAACGCACCACTTGGCTGTCTAAAGCGTCGAGGTGACACAGGTCCGTCGGTTCGAGTCGCCGCACGGTGCCCTCGGAGATGAGCGGGGTGACTTGAGCGAAGAAGAGCGACTTGAGCGGATTCTTCTTCCATCCAACGTTCGCCCAGTCAACCGGCGGCTCCAGGACGCTGACGGCCTCGACGTCACCCTTCTCCATCGAGCTCATCACGCCGCCGTGACGTCGACGTTTGACGAAGTTTCCTAAGACGACGAGCGCGTGCCAAAGGGCGAGCGAGCGCGACGCGGAACCTTCGGAAGACGATGAAAGAGTCTCGTTCCGACGGTGATTCGCGTTGAGTCGCAGCCGGAACGGCGTCGAGCTGTGTGGGCTGACACGACATCTTGTTCACTCGAGGGGTTTCATGACGGGCAGAGTTCTCATCTCGGGAGCGCGTTTTTTTGGTCATATTACAGGTTGACGCCGCCGAGGAGTCTACGACCCCGTCACCGGCGAAATCACCAAGACGTTACCGATCCATTCTCGAGATTGAAATTCGAACCGCTTATCGACGTCGTCGGCACCCCCTGGCGGCCGCAGGTACTGCACATCGCGATCGATCCAGACCTCAACCTGATAGTTGGCGCGCCAAGTCTCGTTTCGCGCTTCGAGTGCGCTCTCCACCGTGTCTGCCAATCGTTCCATCGTCGTCGGATGGCATGCAAGATAGCAAAAACAGCACGCACCGAACGGGAGAAAGGCCCATGAGGCGGCGGACAAAGCGGCGCACTTGATGGAGAAAGCCGGCGCGGCGCGGAGCCAACCTCTTTGTACGTCTCGAATGAACTCGTCAAACTCCGTCTGCGGCATACCCTTCTTACGTAGCAGCTCTGGCATGTTCATGGTCGTTCGCCATTTAAGATTGTCCGGAGTGCTCGGTCCGAATATCGGGGTCGTGTCGAAGCTCCAAAGGCACCCGCGCAGCGCTCGAGAGTGACTTCTGAGCAACTCGTGCACCAACGCCACGCGCGTCGATCCATCCGCCTCCGTTTCCTCCCCTGGCGGTCGCGGCGGAAACCCGATGGGCTTGTAACCACGAGGGTAGTCACCTCCGCGCCAGTGCGCGATGTAGCCGTGTCCCGTGGATCCATGACCGGCCGGTATGCGGCCTTTTCGTTTCGTTCCTTGACCGGCTGGCATGGAGTTCGTCGTCGTCAGCACCCCGTCTCGTCGTCGTTCGACGCGCGATGATCAGAAAGAGACACGATGCGTCGTGCTCGATCGAAATCACCGATGCAATATCGCCGTCGAGATGTGAGTTCGCGTCAAGGCAGGTATTGCCGAACGCGCTACTATCAAATCAACGTTTCAACTGCCGACGTGGCAAGGAAAATGAACGACCTCTTTGTTCACTTTCTTTCTCATCAAAACTGAGCATGTCTTGCAGAAATTACAATTACAAAGGCGTTGCGAACGCGTCGCGAGAATACGCATCGTCATCGACGGTGTCGTGCTCGGAACTGTTGTCGTTGTCGTTCTCGTCGTAGTCCTCGACGAGCTGATCGTCGCGCAAAAACTCGACGGCCCGCGAGGACGCCCAGCTTCCCACCACGCAAGCAGCCAAGAGCCAACATCCGGCTCCAAGAGATGAATCGACGTCAAAACATAAGTCATGCGTGTGAGACAGGGGACCCGCAACGAGTTGTTGCAGCGTGTCATTCAGCGCATCGCAGTTACCGCCGAGCATGAACGCGAGAAATTCCCTTATTTGTGAAATTGCTGCCACAAAGGAGAAGAGCATGACATCCAGCGCGCTCCAGGCGTCAAGGACGTCTTTACACCACCAGAGAGACCGACGATCTCTCGGGTGTAGCCGCATGGTCCAAATCATTGTCACAGTGGAAATTCTGAGCAGCGGGACGATGAAGGCGTAAATCAACATAGTCCATTCAATGAGTCGCGATAGAGACGGGTGTAATTCGGGAGACGAATTACGGACCTGAACAGCAACAGAGCGTAACGACATTGAGCGCGTCGAATCATCCGGACCGAGCGCGGCGCCAGCGATACCGAGCATGGTGAAGCGCATTGCGACTGATTTGAACCCAACGATCAATGCAACCGAGGTTCCCACCATCATCGCCGTCACCGCCATGCTCAAGAGCCATTTTTTTGTTGCGCTCATTTGCATTCTGTGCCACGCAGTTTCCTGCATATGCTCAACAGGATATTCATCGCCGGTACCACTACAGCGTTCGTTGAGGCGGTGATACCCCGTCGTGACATGACCAAGAATCATGGATAACACTGTCGAGGCGAGGAAAACGAAAAAACCCCGCTGCGGTCGTACTGAAATAGTGAGCGCTCCAAAGCCTGTGACGTCAGGAGACGTTGTTATCTCAAAGTGAAACAACACCATGAAGAGCATCATAACGAAGGCGTCAAGCAGCGACCACTTCCCAAAGTCGTCCAAAAGTTTCAGTGTCCGTCCTCGCGTACGAGAGTCGAGGATAGGGACTGACCATGAGACCCACATCGTGACGAGTTTTACATACGGCCATACGCCCGAGAAAAGCAGTATGAGTACCGAAAGAGTATACACACCAGCTCGCCACATGTTCGCAACAGTGTTACCAAGAGAAAATACAATCACTTCCGGTAAGAGAATATCTGCGTTGTCTTCTGGGAACTGCACATCTCGCTTAATAGCTCGCACAGACAGCGTGGCTCCTACGCTAAGATTTGACGACAAGAAGAGGAGGAATGTCATCGCATATAAAATTGGCAAGCCGTACTTCGCACTCCTCGGAACAACCAAAGAATCGCATAGCGCCACCGGCCGGTGTATTAACGACTTTTCATCTATATCAATATTTCCTTCTTCATCAATCTCGGCCTCTCCAAGAAGACTCTCTGTGATTATGCTTGTGTCGTCTACGGTCGCCTCAGCGCGACGCCCAGAGTGGAAAGACGCCCTTGAGTAATTTCTTCTCGAGTGAAATTGGCGAACGTATGAGAGATCATTATCGTCGTCGCGGCTATCTGTATCTTCAAGCGCGAAATCTTGATCATTTTCGATGACCCACTCGTCTTCTTCATGCGCAGATATCGAAATGATCCGTCTCATAATGGCGTAGAAGCAGCGCCGTCCCATCCTTCGAAAAGTGACGACAAGCGTGAAGTACCCAAACAGGACGGTCACGAACATACCAGCACAGAATAATGCGGCGTACAGAAGCGCCATAGAGACCACTCGCTTGAATGAAGACGCACTACGTGCCGATCCGGTATTTTTTTGACACTTGGAAGATCTCATGTAATCGAGTCGTCGATGTAGCTCTTCATTGAGCGCATTTCGCGTCGTCGAGCCAAGTTGGTGCGATAGGGCACGGTGAACTGCCTCTTCCAGTTTTTCCGTGATGAGAAGCGACGCGCGCGTAATGAGAGCATCTAAACTGGCCTCGAGCGTGTCATCACTTTCGTCCACGGGTTCGTTCAGACGCCACGGGTTTACCATGACAGGACCCATCTGACCGCTCCAATCGAGCGACAAAACACGAGCCGAAATAATCGTTTGCGCCAAGCAAGCCACATTCGCCTGACGCGTGCCCTTTAACTGTCGCAGTTGCATTTCGTCGATAGCAAGTCCCAGTCCCACCGTGAACTCCGGATTGTGAAGTTCAAGACTGACTATCAAAGGTTCAATCCATGGATCAAGTTTGATGCTTGTCGGAAGAATGTCCAGCACACCCGAAATGTTGAAGAAAACGCGCTTCCAGCCAATCGTAAATTGAAGCTCCGTATCGACGTCACTGGAGTTCAACGTAGCAGGAGACTTGACAACAGAAGGTCCCCGGAGCGTCGTCGCAGTTTCTAATCCTACAACTTTCATATCGTACACAACGAACGCCGCCCCCTCCACAGTTGATGAAATTTCTCGCAAAACTTCCTTGGACAACATCAAGCTCATCTTCGGCAAGTGCGTCTGAGAATCGAACAACCACACCGGGGGTACTCGAACGACGTTGACATTATTTTCATCGTTCCGCTCGTTTTGATCCTCAATCCAACGCGCGAACGCGCTCACCGATCGTGGACCTTGCGCGCCGATGTATGCCTCCGACATGTACTCGAGCCAGCGCACGAGTGGACTTGTGCTCAGATTTGAGACACCAGCCGTCGCGTTGTACCTCGGAAACGACGCAGGTTCGGCGGGTCGAAATAAGCTTGCCATCGCTCGTTCATCGCGTGCGAGCTGACCGTCCTCCCATCTCTGACCACTCGCCGTTCCGCTAAAGTTTTCTAAAGCGCTCGCGAAGCCAGAGCACGCGAGCGCGCTCAATGTTCTACTCAGCTCTACTCTGATCGCGGGTGATGCAGCGTTCAAAACCGTGGCAAAACGTCCACCATTGAATGATAAATCAGTTGCTGTGATGTGCGCCCGGCAGTTTGTTAATTTGATTTCTCTGGGAAGCGGTGGCGAGCCATTGGGATCTACGTCCAACCCGAGGGAGAACTGCGCGTCTGAGCCCGCCACCTCCGTCTTTGCGTCTCCGATCGCGCGGTTCCGGAATCTGTCCGTGACCGACCACCTGAGGTCACACATAAATCTTAAGTCTTTCACATACGCCGTGAGTTCGCGTTGATCGTCGTTCGCCACGGCCCCGAACGAGCGGTCCAATGAATCCACGTCGCTTGTCAGCGCGCCCACCGACACGTTTGAGCACCGAAAGGCGCTCAGTTCGACTTCTATTCCAGCGTAAGGCACCCTGAACGTCTGCGTCGGAACGTCGAACGTGAACTTTGCGAGCCATGACGAGAGCGTGGAGTCCCTTCCCTCTCCAGAGTCGCCGTCGTCATCGCGCGCGCTCGAGAGAATTGACGCAGATTCCGTCCCGGTCGCAGTTGACACGACGCCGAGCGCGAGGACCGTCACGGCGACGAGCGCGCGCGTGCTGACGCCGCACGCGTCGAGACACCGCGTCCGCCCATTCCGGAGACGCCCCATCGCCCACGCGCGCCGAGGTGTGACCACTAGCATCGCGCCATTCGACTCCTCGGCAGCGCGCGGCGCGTTGAAGGCGCTCACTGGGGCGTGTGACGGGCGATTCCCCGCGCGCGGGCGCGATGCGAGAGACGATGCGGGAGAGAATCTTTCTCGCGCGCGCGGGCGTGAACGCCGCGGTCGACGCCGTTGCGTCGACGGTGCGGAATCGTCCAGAGCTCGTGGTGTGCGCGGTGTGCGTGTGCGTCGCGTCCGTACTGAACCCGACGAGCGAGAGCTTTCACCGGTACTGCGTCGCGAACGCGCGAGACGTCGTCGCGAACGCGCGCGCGAGCGTGACGTCCTCTTGGGCGTGCTCGAACGGAGGGGCGTTACGCGCGACGGGGCTTCGAGCCAAAGCGTACGAGACGAGTGATTTATTTGCCTTCTCCGTGGTGCGCGCCAATTCGGGGAAACATTTCATCGGCATTCTAGGGACGTGGATTCGAGTTCCTGAGATTCTCAATCTGCTTCCAGCGATCGTCGTGCACGTTTACCGCGTGCACGTCACCGCGCTCTCCGTGGTGACTTTGGGCGCGCTCGCGATGGTCGCGCTGAAGCTGTTCAAAATGATGAAGACGTTGGTCATCGCCGTCTGCGCCGGGGCGTTTGGACTATACATCGCACCGAGGGTGTTCGGTGCGCCTCTCTGGTCGATCGCTCTCTGCGCGGTGGCCTGGGGATGGCTATTCAAGACGGGTAGACTCAACTCGATGATAAAGTTGCTCACGTTTTTAGCGCCGCCCCGAAGACATCGTCCAAATGGCCGTGGAACAGCTCGTGATCCCACATCGTGAGCCCGTGGAGCTGTTGCCGAGATCAAATCGCATCATCGCGATGCAACAAGCGCTCGTCGATACGTACTCACTGTCTCACAGTAAATCCTAAATCTGAATGTGTAGCGCGCGTGAAACTCGCTTGGATGTATCGACAGATGAATTACAATGTTTTTCTATTCGCATGGAGACCGTAATTATCATCAGCTCATTCATCTCTTCATCAGCCTTATTTAGCGTTTCGGCCTGGTAAAGCCTTGGCTTTTCTTGGTTCACACGTCTCGAGATACTGGAGCGCATGCTTCGAGTCTTCATCGAAGTTTCTCAAACGCTTCAGTCGCTCTTGGAACCGGATATCGCGGGTTAAGTTGTACCACCACAATCCCACCTGAACGCCGTCTCTTTCCCCATCATCTTCATGGTCCCATCGCGCGAGTGTCCTTGTGTGTGTCTCTTGTCGCGGCGGCGTTCCTCGACTTTTAGGGTATTTAGGGTTTAGGGTTTAGGGTTTAGGGTTTAGGGTTTAGGGTTTAGGGTTTAGGGTTTAGGGTTTAGGGTTTAGGGTTTAGGGTTTAGGGTTTAGGGTTTAGGGTTTAGGGTTTAGGGTTTAGGGTTTAGGGTTTAGGGTTTAGGGTTTAGGGTTTAGGGTTTAGGGTTTAGGGTTTAGGG